ATAACGCGTCTACATTGTTTTGCGGTTTCCACGTCTCTTGGTGTTCGGGGAAGTCAGCGGGCACGGCGAAGGTAAATAAAAATCAGTGCACCATATTTTTACCGGACCGACGCGGAAACCTCCTTCACCTGCGGGGGCGACCTGCGGTGCCGAAAGCGCGCGATATGTGACGACATCGTGACGTTTTTGGTCCTGGCCTTACTACTGGTTGGAGCCCGTAAAATATTTTGTTGTTGTTTTTTTTAGTCGAAAAACAAAATATAAGTGGCGCGAACCGTTTCGATTATTTATGAAAGTAGTTTTTGTCCACTATTTTAGATCAGAAAAAAAAATGCAGTTTATAAAGTACGGAAACAAAAAATGACCCGTCGACATACCCGCCACCAAGCGATGGAAAAGGTGGCGGATACTAGAAAGGGGTAGTGGGATCAGGCACCGACGAGCGGCGAGCGTTGAAAGGTCCCGGATGTACGCGGCAGTGCTGCGATCGTATGGGCTCGAGGATCCGACCGGTTTCGAGCGTCCAGAAGGCCTTCGGCGAGCAGGTTTGGCTCGCGGTGTGGCCGTTTGGCGGTATGGCAGCGCGAAGTGGCTCCCGTTCTGAACTAATAGTTACCCCGTGTTTGCTGTCGATTGTGGGCAATGAAGTGTCATGCCGAATTAGTGTTTAATTGCACAGCAAATGCAATGCGAACCGCCCTGGCCGCCGGCTTCATCCAGCCTATCCAGCACATGCTTCAGTGGCGCACTCTCAAGCTGTCGACACGGAGTGCGGCAGCCGTGAGCGCTCATTGAGCTCACTACCCCTCCTCTAGTTCACGGCCACTCAAGCCAGGACCAAGGACGTCATGAAGGAAGTTATTTCTTGCTTTTTTTTTTTGTGTGTGTAATTTTAATTTGCCTATAACTTTTAAAATAAAGCGAAATTCGAGAAAAGAAACGTTTGGTTAAGTTCCGACGTTCAGTGCGCTCAAGTTCGGTGCAAATTAAAAACCAGTTAAAAAGTCGTTGCAGGGCCCTTTTAAGCGCTAGCGCTTGTTCAACTGAAGTACGTCTGACTGAAATCCATACGTGCACGTGGTTATTCTTTTGCTTAGCAATAAAATATAGACGAGCGCCGAATAGAAGCGGTGATAGGTATGCTATCAATTCTACCGCATATCTCCCACGTTCTTTTTGCCGTTTTCCATCAGTGCCTTGGCGCCATGTTGGAGGCATTCGGCGCGTCTTGTTGTGGCAGCATGTAGTGCCGTAGAGCCCTGGCGTCTGCCTCGCTCGCGCTAGATCATAAAACAAATTGGTGGCGAGTAGCCGATGGGACACAAATCAGAATAAGCGTGACATTGTGTTTAACATCCTTGGACGGTACTTGAACGCCTTGCAAGAGTGCCGACGGACGCCAAAACATCCGTCATCTGCTAATCATTTGCGTTGACTGACAAGAAAATTAAATCGTTAGGGGATGTTGTGCAGAACTTGTCAGCTCTGTAGCCGGCCCTCCAACTTTTTGACTGACTGCGCTTCGTGTCTGAGGAACCTCCTTGCGATCGACTAAGACAAGTAAAACAGACGAAATTACTTGTGCGGCAGCTCCAGTCTTCATCCGTGTATACACGGATGAAGACTGGAGCTGCCGCACAAGTAATTTCGTCTGTTTTACTTGTCTTAGTCGATCGCAAGGAGGTTCATACACGGATGAAGACTGGAGCTGCCGCACAAGTAATTTCGTCTGTTTTACTTGTCTTAGTCGATCGCAAGGAGGTTCCTCAGACACGAAGCGCAGTCAACCTGACTTTTACGGCTGGAGCAATTAATTACGACGCAAATGGCCATCTTATTCCTCAAGTGAGCGGACATACTACAGCGCGAACACGGCCCCAAAGCACACAAAACATAACATAATAGCACGCCTCCACCATGGATTCCGCTAAGTACCGCCCCCCATGGTAAGTGACCATGGGGAGCGGGGATGGTATCTAAGTGGCTAGGTAGCTAAGTTTAGAGTTAAAATTTTCAAAGGTAGCTAAATTTGGAGTTAGAATTCCAAAAGTAAAGTTTTTGGACTTGCAACAATATAATAAAACGGGGCTTTGCTGGTCTTATGGGAGGGAAATCGTGAAGAGGGATCTTTCTAGATGGGGGTGCGCATTCTAAACTTGTTAAAGGAGGGGGGGGGGGGGGGGGGTGGAGATCAATAATTGGCAGTGCACTGAAGAAATCTTGTTTTCATTTTGTTCGGAACGCTTTCGGCGTTTAAATCAAACGTCTACTGTCGGCGGGTTATAGTTTAGATTTTATCGTTTCTAGTGCACGTAGACTGCTTGTACGCGCATCGGTTACAGCTGAGAGGGTTCAAAGTGGAACCTTTGCTGTGATTCCTTATTTTCATGGTTTTTCTCATAGCCTAAAAGGTTTGGGTGCAAAATTTAACGTTAATGTGATTTTTAAGACGGGACTTTCGTTTATACAAGCTCATCCCGTTTACCTTCAGACGTGAGGGATGTTGCGGGAAAAAACACTGAGATCCCTCAGTCTCCTGTGTCGCAGAGGTGGTCTACAAGATCCCCTTTGACTGCGGATTGTGTTATGTTGGTCAGACAGGGCGTTGTTTAAATGACCGTCTTACGGAACATAAAACGAGTGTAAAGAATATGGCCCAGAGTTCTGAGTTGGCAAATCATGTTAGTTCCTGTATTTTTTGTTCCCCTCTTTGAGATGAAACTTCCGTTCTGTGTAACGAAAAAGAAAAGACTTTGTGCATTTGCGAGCGGGGGAATTGTGTGAGCCAGCCGTCCTTGGTTATCAGGGATCGGATGAAAGAGTTTTTGCTTGTGTGAGGGGGGCTTTGTAAACTTGACGGGGGGAGGAGAAAATCGGGAAGCGTTTGCTTGGAAGTAGGAAATGAAGATTAGTTTCCTAACGAGCGTGTTGGTAAGATGCGCTAGATAACAGAAAGTATAAAACAGAGAGAGGACGAAACACAGACGAGTACATTCTTTCAACTCACAACAAAGTTTATTCCATGGAGTGCGAACGCACGTTCCTCTGCGCAGGCTTAGCGAAAGGGGGAAAGGGCAGAGGCAGAGGGGGGAAGTAAGAGGAAGGAAGGGCGGGTGGAAGAGGCGGCTGGGTGCGTGGACCCGTTGGGGTCGGGCCGCTCACCGAGGTCATCTAATCACCCCGGACAGCTCTTGGCTCAGATAATCTATCTCTCTATCAGGGAGGGCTAACGAGGGGGAAGAGACATTGACCCCGGAGTTTTTTTATCGGAAAAGATTCGATAACTTCCCTGCCGAATCCCTGAGGACGGCGCCCGAGCACGCGCGTTTTTTTGAACCTTGGCTCACATCCTCCGCATATGCGACGATGTGCTGCAATCGGGTGCACCGTTTCCTCGCTGGGATCGGCGACCTCTCGGAAGTGCTCTCTCAGGCGGTCATTTAGGCACCGGCCCGTTTGCCCGATATATTCTCCCCCGCAAGAGAAAGGAATGGAATAGATTCCCTCTCTCCGGCAAGAGACGAATTGCTTTTCATGTTTCTTGGGACAAAGATTTGGAGGGGAAGGATCTGACAAATACTCTAAAGTGGCTTATTACCTCCTCCAACACACCTCCCTCTACACCCCGACCCCGCCGAAAACAATTCGAGGTCATTCCGTACACGCAGAACACTTCACATCGCCTCAAGGCGATCGCCTCACGTTTCGACGTAGGAGTCGTCTTCAAGTTCAAATTCAAACTGAAGCAGATGTGCCGTCAGGTCAATAATCCTTCCCCTCCAAATCCCTGTCCCAAGAAACATGAAAAGTAGTTCGTCCCCCGGGGAGGGGGAGGGGGGGGGGGGGGCATGCCCCCCCCCCCCCTTGTTCTTTCTGGCTACGTGCCTGGCTTCGCATAACTTTTTTTTATTCTGTGTAGTGTCGAAGTACAGAAAGACACCCTTCGTCGTCCGAAATCGGTTAGATTCAATGCCACAAGACACTCGAAAGTAAGAGATTCATGACTCTACCGCTAGGGTACCCTAGCAGCACAGATGTCCCTGAGGATATCCGGAGGACTATGTCTGCTGCTTGGGTCAAAACATCTGACGTCTCAACGCGTTCTATTCTGCTTCTTTTTTCTTTTTTACTTTGGAACATTTAAAGTTAGCATTAACGTGTGTTTCGACGGCGGTCGATTTTTTCTTTCTTTTTATTTTCTTCGTGATCTCGCGGTCCGCATCAGAGCAGGTAAGCCTTAACATGTGTGGCAATTTGAGACGCCCAAGTTTGTACTACCCAAAACCAGTCCTAAGAAGTCCCTTTTCGCAGCGTCCACTGGGCAACGCAGGAGGCATATTCGGTGGCGTGGAACGTTTGCCGCAGAAAGTGCGCGCTCAGCAGCGAAGCTACCAGAATGGCCGCTGGTGTGACGTCGTCACTGTAAGCCGTACATTTAGCCAACAGCATTTGGCAATTAACAAACCGACAGACCTGCAGAACGCTTCGTTTGCTCGACGCGAGCACTCAAGTCGTACGACGAATTCTTTTTTTTTTTTTTTTTTGATACGCATGTTGATTGCATGTGTCCTACGACGCAGTGATTTATGCGCGCACCGAACCCACACTCCCCTCCCCAGACATGTTAACCTCACAGGTCGCAAGGGCACGAAGGCTCAGGAAATATGTAGCTAGTCCCATCGCGACGTTCTCGCGCTCAAACATGTCCGGCGTTCTGGCTGGGCTGGTCTGGCCTTATACGATGGAAAAACAACTACCACCAATAAGCAATAACACCGACCTTTTATGTGACAAAATAACGCTTCTTGTTCTACATCCAAGTCAAATCAGTGAAGTTCAAACACCGTGAGTTCAACTAAGTTCAAATGTAGCGCCGAAAGACTTCGACGCGAGTGCAAGGGTGCAAGCGCAGGAAATCGAACGAAGCTGGCTCGGCTGTCTCTGTCGGTGCCCGTAGCGCCATCTTCCCTATAATCTATGAAGCTTCTCACGTGTGGCGGAGAAGAGGGCCAAGCAGGGCGAAGGCTGCCACGCATTTCCTCGCTGAGAAAGGGGGAAGTGGCAAGGGCTCCACGGAAGCCCTGCGTGATTAGGCCATGGATATGACCGACAGTTTACGTCGCACCCGGAGTGTCACTTCGCCGTATTAGGGAAGTGTGTTTATTTACATGTTTGTATACACACATTATACATTATATTCGTGGCAAATTGGCGCGTTATTGTAGGCTGTTCTTTTGTATTCGCGTCCCAAAATTACGCAAAGCGCTTTGGCAAGAGCAGTGAGGCCATGTCTGCTGTGAACTACATTTTGACGCGCGCGCTCGACAGCAGGGGAGGGGCACGCAGGCATCTTTCCAAAACAAAGATTTGACGTGGTTTGTATCGGTCTGGTGAAAGCGTGCTCTTTTGCCTGAGTGGGACCCGGCTTGTACCGTCCAAAATCGCAGATACGCGTACAATGCCCAGGAATGGAAACATCCTCGTCGTTGAGAGTGTCCTGTCGCCAGGAAATTCGACCGTCTTGGGAAAAACGGCCGAAGTTGAAGACCTTGTGTCCGCCATCAAAGAGAACCTGAAGCTCAAGTCGCAACAGCAGCCTTGCCACGTTTGCGGCCAGCAGCGGCATCCGAGGTACTCTCCCTACCTGATACCAAAACGAACTGAGGCCGGTGGTGTTGTGTCTGCGGTGCCCAAAGACGTTGTGCGGCGAACGTGCGCGAACCACCACCAGGACGCCGACAAGGATCCTTACGAAATGTTGCAGGATCTCCTGCGGCAAGGCACACTCATCCAAGAAGCCGTCCGGAGACTCCAGGAGAACGTGGTTGGCAAGACAAAAGCGCCTCATTCGTTAGACAGTTCGTCCAGGGACTCTTTTTCGTTCTAGGCCCACTGAAATCCCATCTCATCAAGGACTTCTAGCAATTGTGCACCCCTATGTGATCCTCGAGCAGTTGGCTTACCTTATTCAAAGCGTACGATAGCGCATTTTTGGCTTAAGTGCGTTTGTTTGGCCTCCCATGTGTTTGAAACGAAAAACGGGGCGCATCGCTTCATAAATAAATTGAATGTGTGTGTTTGTTTATTTCCTTCTCTTGCCCTGGTTGATTCGAATGAATGAAGCCACGAGCCGCTCGCTCGTGTCGGGCTGCGTATTGTGTCGGTCTATGTTGGCTGGAGTGGAACTGTTTCGAGCTTCTTTTTTTGCTGATGGTGTGTGAACTGGAACACGCTGTGCGAGGAACTTCCCATAAATCGATTGCGGAAAATTCCATTTTGAGGAAGAGGGAAAGTGGGAAGGGCAGGCCTCGCGGTGTTTGGCAATCCTGCGCCATAAAGCAAGGGGGGGGGGGGGGGAGGGGAGTAGAGGAAGCGGAGATGTTGCAATGTGCTCTCCTATTCGACCCTTGTCTCTAATGCCCCTACGTATGCCATGATTTGTCTGATCATACAGTCATACGTCCGCAGCTGCACTGCGGCATACTTGCACCGACTTTGGCGTTTTAAAACGCCGGACATAAAATAACATTGAAAAACGAGCGTGTTGGTAAATACTTAGACACCGGAAAGAATAAACAAATTCGGGACGCAAACAGACGATACAACTCAGTTGTATTGTCTGTTTGCGTCCCGAATTTGTGTTTATTCTTTCCGGTGTCTAAATACATAAAATAAGTTTTATTTTTATAAATGCACGGACGTTCACTGGGGTGTATGATATGAAGCTCGTCGCTATCGAATAAATTCCGAGTAGTGTTTGTTGCGAATTGTATTAAGGAGGAAAATCGTTGCAAGCCGTTCAGGTAACTGGAGCACCGAGGCATTCGAGTCGGAGCAGAGGCGGGCCAGATGCCAGATGCAGACAACTAGCATGCTTGCGTATCACGTTCGCGTTTTGCAACGGCGAAACAACGGGAACAGGAACATTTTAAACACATTCGGCCAATGAGGGGCGCCCTCTACGTCACGTGATACACTTTTGTGGCTATGGTAGTTTCTAGTTTTCGTAAGCCTACTTTGCTCTGTATTATATTGTTTACATTTGTTTCTAAGGTGTGGTTAGTTATTGTTTTGCGTTTTTTCTTTTAAGCTTTCTCCGCCGTCCTTAAGTACTAGGACTATGATCTCGGTGTGAGCGTTATAAACGAAAATCGAAGTCTGCCAAGATTTGCGGTAAGAGGAAATCTAATGTCTACGTTTCATCGAAATGAGCGTGCTGTCAAAGTTCACGGCTGTGCACGGGTCGTGGTAGCTTGCGACACAGATTGAAGCGCATTGACTGTGACTGTGCGGCTTCTGTTTTCGCAATGTGATGTTTTTGTCGAGCAGAGATAGATAGCGGCCACTTTTAAGTCTGTTTTGTTCCCAGTGTTTTACTGTAATCTGTTCACACCGCTAAGTTTTCGGTCACGCATACGTGACATTGAGTTCAAGGCCAACAGCGGAGCTGCATTTGTGCTTACGAGGAGTCAGCTTGCATAATATCACTTGTTTCGGTAAGAGTGCCGTGCAGACTCCGACGACCTGTTTTTCGTGCACGTACCATTTGTTGTCACTAACGACGACACAGCTAGTGGCGCTGATGCCCACTCGGTTGGTAACTACGTATTGTTATGTCATGCGTTGGAAAAGATAGGTTTGGGCGTCGATTGGGCAGAAAAAGCTTTGTGCCGTCTCTGCCATGCCAACGAGCCATTGTGCCCTGGCGACAGCCAACAAGCGCGAAAAATATGTCTTGGGATAATCAGTTGCTGGATGGTCGTGACAGCGAACACGGAATGGCGATAAATACACTATCTGGGCAATGCACTTGACAAAAGGGTTTGTCTAGTTTCAGCCAGCACCGGACACGTCCTTTCCTTTATCACCCGTGAGCCGACAAACAGGTTGTAGTTTGTAGCTCAGCGTGTACTTGGTTTTCAGATTGGCCAGAAGATGGCCTCCGAAGCAGAGGTGTCCCATTCCCCCGTGCTGCGTACAGTGGAAGTGGAGAGGGACGGCACCTCAGCGACCGATGAGCTAACGGGCCAGAGCCTAGCCCAGGTTGGCCGCTACATGTACCTGAAGCAGGACAGGCGGGAGTCTCTGAGCAGCGTGAGCAGCGACTCTGGCGATGTGTCCAATGGGCGTGAGCACCTCTGTGACGTGGAGGAGGAGAATGTTGTCATCGTCCCAGAGTACAACACTCCCATCATCGGCTATGAAGTCATGGAAGAGAGAGCAAGGTTCACGGTGAGCTGGCATCCAGAAGTGCCGCGATGTCGGTGGCAACCATGCCAGGCTTTGCAGGGTCGCTCCCTGTAAGGCATGCGTTTGCCTTGGGGTCGCATTTGCAGAATTTATTGTTAGTCCTTGACGAAAACAATCGTCACTTGTGCTTCCTTTCCTGGATGCCCTCCGCAAAGTGCCATGTTGCGCATGCCATGCTGAGCGAGGATTCCAGGAATTTGTGTCTGTTAGAGTTCCTCTTGGTCAGATGAAGGCTTGGGTCCTGAATCTTTGGCAGTGCTAATGCCATCTGCTTCATGTCTGACTTTGTAACCTTAATGCCTGTCTCGGTTTGCTTGTGCTGCGATTGGAGAGGCTCAGTGGCTCTGCCTGCAGTGTTCTTGCTAGTAAATTCTGTGCACAACCACCTTTAATGGTCAAGAAAGGAGTCAAGCTGTCTCATTTTTCTTCTAAGGTCTTCAAAATCAGGGTGGAGCATGTCGAGAGTGGTCGCTACTGGTTCGTCTTCAGGAGGTACACAGACTTTGGACGCCTCAGCAAAAAGGTCAGCTCTCCGCAAATACCGTTATATTTCTTCCTCCCAGAGAGTTTGGATTTTGATCTAATTTGTTTCCACCCCTCTCTCGGTGCCCTGGAATGTGGAAAAACAAAAAGTTGAAGCCCCTGTTCCCGGGACTCCAGCTCTCATTGCCCCCAAAGCGCTGGTTCGGGAACAACTTTGACCCCATGTTCCTTGAGGACCGGCTCCTGGGGCTTCAGGCGTTTGTCAAGAACATCATGGGTCACAGGGACATCAGCAAAAGGTTAGTGTTGAGATTTTACACTGTTTCGCTTTTAAAGAGATACTCAAACAAAATTCTAGTGCCTATTGTCTAAAGGTGCGTTCACACGCTTGCGTTAGACTCCGACCGACTGAGACAAGACTGGTTTCGAAGCCTCTTAGGACGTCTTCCAACCGGATGCGCAGCAATGCTGCCGGTCGTAAGCCTTAAAGGCTTAAAACTCGGTCTTGTCTCAGTCGGTCGGAGCCGAACTCAAGTGTGTGAACGGGCCGGGCCTTAAAGGGGCACTGACACCCCAAAGGTCATATTTATTTTTATTGTCTAAAACGATGCAAGTTGCAGTCATAGACACGCCAAAAAAAGCGCATCGCGAAAACAAATTTTCTTGTGCGCGCGCACGCCTTTTTTTTTTTTTTGGCGTTTGATTCTCCCGCCATCGCCTCCTCGCTTCTTTTGATTCGTGACGTCAAGAATCATGAAATTTAGAAGCTTTGTAGGCGACATCTTTATAACATTTAATAACGGCAATCCTAAAACATGTTTTTTAGCGCAATTGCGAACACACTACGGCCCTTCTTTTTGAAATACCAAAAATCGGGAGTTTGTTGTGGTGCCGTCTCCTGGATTTGTATCCTCCAACGGAAAACAGGCGACACCGCTCAAAACCGGTCCGTCGCAACGCCGGCGCTCGCTCCTTTCCTCCTCACTTTGGGTCGCCATGGCAACAGCAGGGAGTCGTGAAAGAAAGTGGACTCTCAGGACTCCGCAATATTTGACGTCAAGGCACCGGTGCCGATCGCGCGGAAACTTCGAATTCGGCATTTGGAAATTGGTTTTTTACTTCACAAATACTGAATTCCCAAATTTCAAATTTTGAGGGTAATGTCCCGGCATCGTTTTCAATCGTTTCGGATAATAAAAAAAAATATTATTTTGATGTGTCAGTGCCCCTTTAAGTGTCAACCATATTCTGACCACACCAAGGAGACACCAACTGTTTGCTCGAAAAGACACCAAAACATTATTTAGAAGAAATAAACCGGATGTCTTTACGTCACTCCGAACCTAGAAGCAGCACCGCTCCGCGGAAGTATGGCGGCAAGCTGTGTGCGTGTGAGCCCTGTCGAATTTGACCAAACCGGATTTCCCTTCTCTCCCACGCCTATTCAACTCCTGCGGGGAGGGGCAGCTAAAGTGACCAGGTGGTAATGCATTGATTTGACGCCACCAAGTGGCGAAGGTCACAACCATGCAGTGAAAGAAAACATTACGTCACAAAGGTGATGCATCCCGGGAGCTCCCGACACGCATTGCAACCTGGCCATTTTAGTTGCTGCTCCCTGCAGGAGTTGAATAGGCATGGGAGAGAAGAGAAATCCGGTTCGGCAAAGTATGACGGGGCTCGCATGCACGCAACTTGCCGCAGTACTTACGCGGAGTGGCGCTGCTTTCAAGTCCAGGGTGATGTAACAACATTCAATTTATTCCTTTTAAATATAATGTTTTGGTGTCATTTCAAACAAAAAATTAGTGTCTCAGTGGTGTGGCTAGATTGTGGTTGACATTTAGACAATAAAATAGGCACTATAGTCTTTTTTGTTTTTTTTTTAGTTTGTTTAGACAATACATCATCTAAACAGGCTATTGCAGTATTACTTTAAGGGGACATGGGACTCCCCAAAAACATTTTTTTAAGCGCCTGGCTAGAATGCCAAGTCACAAAATGAATTTTCCCAGGAAAAGCAACAGCATTTTAGTGAAATCGGTTCGAGAGTAAATGGATTTGGTACCCTCTCTCTCTTCCTTCTGGCCGAGCAGAGAGGGAAGATGGTTTCTTTCTATCGACGGTGCAGAAAATAACCCACGATGGGGACAAAGGAGATCTTGGGGGAGCCGTATCTCGGTCACAGCGGCTCAATGGGCAAACAGGATGCAGCAGACGTCTCGGGTGTAGGACGGGTGGGTGAGGCCTTGCGCGCGCATTGTTTTTTTAGCCACTTAGTGTTGAACACATTTGACACTAAGTGGAGGAAAAAGTTGCCAAAAATCACGTGGCTGTGCAACTTTTTTTTCTTTATTTTTTTCAATCAGTGTATTTGCAGCTTTCAGAAGCCACAAATAATGGGTATCATATATATATATATATATATATATATATATATTTTTTTTTTATATATTGAGTGTGTGCTTTTGATTATGCATGACTTTGGTTATATTTGGTGTGTGTCTAAACAATACCACCTCCAAGACAAGGCCTGCGCATGACGTTTGGTTAGTAGATCCCCGACCCGTCTCAAGCGGCAAACACCTCGAAGCTTGATGTGGGTAGGGGTCACGTTACAGCTATGTCGTATCCACTGGCGGCCATAGCTGTGTGCGCCACTGCTGAGCGCGAGCTGATAGCGAGCCGTGTGACACCATCAGGTCTTAGCAGTCTATTAATGTGAGCTTGTGCGACACCATCGAGATTGCCGGTCTAAGCAACCTATTAATGTGAGCTCGTTCTGAGCATGACCATTGAAGCAGGTGATGGAGCAGATGATGTCGCTGACGATGGTACTCATTTAGGCCACCTAGGGAGCGCTGAGGGGATCTGCTAGTGGTGACGTTTAGAGGAGGAAACGCACAGGCCTTGTCCTCTAGGTGGTTGTGTCTAAACCAGGGGTGGCCATGGTGACCCGGCCTAAGAGCCACAAACAAAACCACAAAACTTCTAAGAGCCGCGGAGAGGGGGGGGGCAACTTTTGTCCAGGCTGTAGACAAAAGTTTGCCCCCGCCCCCAAGAAACATATGCAAAGGGTCATAAAAAAAAAAATGAAAGCCGTTTACAACTCTTTTGAATGCCGGATTAGAGCGCAGCTCTTGAGGAGGAGGATGGAAGGGTACTGAGGGATAGGTGACTCCCTGAGGTCACGTGACCTCAGGTGGGGTTATGTGAGGGTGACTCTAATAACCCTCGTAACCCTCGCGAGGGCAACCCTCGTGATGTCATTATGGGAAACTACCCATAATGCAACACGCAGTTACGCCGACGCCGCTCACGCCGGAAACGGGCGCCTAAGAGCTGCGTTCTAAAACAGTCGAGTGAAGAGCCGCGGTCAAAAGGGGACGTGGCAGGTTTGTTTATTTCATTCATTTGGGCTGCGGGCACAGTGAATTCCACTGATGCAGCGGTTGCTCATTGTGTGTCTGTGTTGGACTTCCCCATTCGTGAAGCAAGCCCCTTGAAGTCTGGCTGAAACGACGTCGTTGCGCTCCGGAGCAGCTCAGTCAGGTGGTCGTCCGTAAGGGTCGCGCTCTGTTTTGACTTCACCGCCTTCATTGTTGCGAACAGAGCCTCGCAGCAGTATGTTGCTCCAAATATGGAGAGGAGTTTCTGGCTCGCGAGCTTGACGTGGGGATACCACCTTGTTTCCGGCAGCTGCCGCCAGAATACTGCACTTCCTTGAGACCGCAGGAACGTCTCTATCCCTTCGTCTCCTTGTAGTTCAAGCAGTTCCAGATCAAAGGCTCCTACATCTCCTGCCAAGCTTATCGGTCTGAAACTGTGCTGTGGCAGCTGCGAGAAACGTTTTGGCAGTGTAGAGTAACATTGCTGTGATTGTAAGGATTCATATGGCTACTGGCTTGCTGGCGGCCAGGAATGTGAGGGTGTTCTGACGTGAAAACGTTGTGAAGCAAATAAGAAGAAAAAAACCATTGAACCAGGAAAACTGAAGGATGGAAATTCTGTGCTTGCATAGTGACCATTACAAATATAATCTCTATGTCATGACTTTTCTTTGTGGGTTTTCAATGCATGTCTGAACCTGGGGACGATTGTACAAGAAGCTTTGACTCTCTTTCAGCTCTCCAGTGCGAGAGTTCTTCTGCTTGGACGATCCTCCAGAACCCCTGGACACCATTGAGGAAAGCAGGGTATGCCAGGAAATATCTATATATAGACAGTGTACCGAGCAGACTAGCTGTTGCCACCTTTTGCTTTAGTCACTTTTGCAACTAAAGCGAAAGAAGTGATGGTGCTTGTGAACTTTCTTTACTCTAATCACAGCTCCACTTGCATCTTTCAATGACATGTTTATAATTCTGTTGCTCTCTCTTCTAGTGTCTGTAAAGTTTGCACCGTCTTGATGTGTGCATAGGTAGATAGCAGAGGCACATATCCATGGGAGGCTTATGGGGCTGAAGCCCCACCTCGAAATGCAATTGACTCTATAATATACCTGCGCATTACCCTACCCCCCTGCCCCGCAAAAATAATTCCTAGCTACTCCACTGGTAGAGAGTAGGACGAGCCAAGTAAGGCATGTCAACAGGTTGCCCTTTTCCCTTCTTTATAAAACTGGTCATCAATAAGCACGTGCCTAGCACAATCGCCTGTATTGCGTGGCAGGCTAGGTGCAAGTGAGCTCGTCATTGCGTTCTATGATTATTATTTATTCTTTTTAAGTTACTGTTTTTTTTTGTTTTTTTTCCCGCAGGTGGTGGTGGGCTGACAGGCGCTCCGCGTAAGGGTTCTCACCTATCTGTTCAGCCCAGCACACCGCCACCTGCGCCCTTGGAAGTGCAAATAAAATTATTATTATTATTATTATGATGAAGTGAAACCCATGCTTGATGGCAAGTCGTGTCGTGCAGGCCCTGTGTGAAAATCTCGAGGAGAAAGTGTATCGGCTGAGCCAGCAGCTTCAAGAACGGGACACGGAAATCGAAGTGTTGCGGGCAGAGTTGGAGTCCCTGCGCCTGCAGCAGGGCGTCCTCGTCAAAGCTCTCAAGTGGGTGGCCCCTATTTCCTGTTTCTTCGGATGGCTGATGACAGAGGAATTCTTGTTGAGGCAAACGCTGGCCGAGAGGCAGGGAAAAAAGGACTAGTGGAGGGTGTCATTTTGTGGCGTCAAGGAGGAGAGAAGATTGAGGGTATCATCTGCAGGAGCGAGAGTATTCTTGTATGTCTGCTCCTGCAACTGTACGAGAATGCATACTGTGGCCCACGGTTGTACCGCATGTTTTAGCATCCTGACACCCTTGGATTTTCACATAGAAAGACTGAGCAGTTTAACCACATGGAGAATGTCAAAGAAATAAGCTCTTAGCAACTCAATTTCGGCAAAGTTTGGCAAACCACAAGAAACTGCAGTGACCTGGCTTCACTAATTGCTAGTCTGTTCCTGCAAAATTTTCACCTCTAGTCTGGTTATAATTTAAAGGGAAACTTCAGCGAAAGTCGAAATATACCCGTCGTGTTCAGAAATAGGTTGAATGTGATCCACAATATTCGTAAATGACAATCGCATGTTCATTTTGACCCTGATGGCTGCATTTTTCGTTTAAACGGCCCACTCTGGCAAGCGCTCGGAGAGCACCCAGCGGGGAGCACGTCACATCCGACGCAGTTGTGACGTGGTCTGTCTCGGGAGGAGCAAAGCTGCGGCGAGGCTTACGTTGTCGGGATGACCTAGCCGTTCCAGCCACCCAAGCGATCGAAGCACGCCATAGCTTGGGCCACACTGCAACTAACCGCAAAGCTGATTTTGTTTGAATTTTGAGTGACGGATTAATCTTTATAATCTTGTAGAGGGAGAATAGAAACGTCTGGGACACATAGAAGAGAGTCCCGTTGAGTGGGGAGTTCCTCCCTCCCGTCATCTCTCGTGCTGGCCGTAGAGCTGTCGTGAGGACCTCAGGCTCAAAGCATGTATAGTTTTTGGCGAGACAGTCATCGTCACTACCTGTCGAGGACTTAGACGGGCACTACAAACGAGGCTTTAGCGACATCCACCAGGTGCTCTTTGCTAATCGTTTAATTTGTTTTAAAATTTTTTTTCGTGCCTTTTTTTAACAAGATATTGGTGTGTCCGATGTGATACTGCTCGTTTGAACTTGTACAGACCAAAAAATATAGAGCATATAAAAGTAGTTGACTATTCACCCTTTTTTGTCTGCCAATAAACTCGGTGGCACCATCTGTTGTGTAGCCCTGGCATACTTACAGTCTGGATATATATTCTGAATTTTTACGCATCATTCTTTCATCATAAGAGTGAATTATGTGTAACAGTGGCATAAGAGACCACTTTCCAAAAATAGTGCATAGATTTTATCTTGCAAATACTGCGAAGCCCGCCGTCTGGTTCAGAACACGAAGTGTTTGAAGGCAATTTGCGCACTGTGGCTACCACGTTTTAACCCGCGCAACAAAGAGCAAATAGCGGAGTTAAAAGAAAATAAATATGTGCCCTTTAGCCAGATCAGCAAGACCATGTGTAAGACTTGGGTTGATCCTGCTTAGGAATGGCTTTGTATATACCAAAGTGCTGTTTAGGCATAGAAATGTTGGCACGACGAAACTCCAGTCCATGCAAGCCTTTTCATAATTTCGAGCATCTAAATGTTTTGTCAGTGACACTTGTAAAATGGAATATGCGAAAGCACACCAGTTCCTTTTCCCGCTTCCTTAGTACTATAGCTCTTTGGTGAACGATGAGGCAGTAGCGTCGGGCATATTCTGAGATGCTTGTTTGCACGGGGTCTCTTATCAATGTGGAATGAACATTAAGGCGGAGCTCTCTGAATGGTGGGGAGGCCGAGGTTTGTTTTCTATGTGGAAACAGTCGGGCAAGAATGAAGTGTCTCATGTTTCGGACCTGGTGTAGTTTCACGACAAAAATTCCCCAACTGGACACGAGATTGACTAGCTAAGACACCTACGAAAGGCTGGTTGGTTATTACTACCTCCTGATTAAGAAGACAATAGCATGTTTCTGTCAATGGACAGTAGTGTGTTTCCTCCTATGAGGCGAGTTCCCGCTCCTTCATTCTTGTCTCGAGTTGTAGCATTGAGCGTCGATTTCCTTTCCCTGCTGCTCTCTTCCCACCGCTGTTTGCCGGCTCCTGTTTATGTGCTGAGTCGTCGTCTTTTTTTCTGCCTGTCTGCCTGGACATCCTCAGGCTCGAGTGCTCACTAGCCAGCTGGGCCAATGCGCAACTCTCGAGAGACAGGCCCCAGTATTCCTCGTCACACGCCTTTGGTCTGCACACCCTGAACCTCACCCTCTCTTCCATGTAAGGCAAATGCCGTCAATGCCATTCTTGGTCCCTCGTTGGGCCTGGCTTGTTGTGTGTTGTTACGGGCGGGCTCTATCTTTCGGTGCACATCTGTTGCTTGTCCAGCCTTTTGTTACTGCCGCTTTTCTGAGGGTTTACCGTCGGTGCCAGTTGGGAATTCGATTGGCCCGTAAGCTGAGAGCAACAGAAATCTCATTCGCTAATGTGCGAGCATAATGTGCATTTGCAGTGCCACAAGACTTGTTCTGTCACAGTTTGCTCGGTCATATTGTCTTTTGCCAGTCAAAATCCCTCTCTTTAAAAGTGCTCTAAAGACGTTTCTGAGATTGTCAGGTTTTGGTGATGACTTATTCGATGGGATCTTAGCATCCCAGAAATCGAAAAATTATGCTCGTGCAACATCTATTTCCCTACTAAAAATGTGATTGAAGTTTGGGCCACGCCCCTCTCTGAGCGGAAAAATCTGGAGCACAGAACTCGGCGGAAGTGCCAGCGGCATGACGACGGGTGCGCGTCAACCAATTGCAAGCAAAAGCGCTGGCAGCAGAGGCGCCGCTGGCGCCTTGGCTGGATGCTGTGTTCCAGATATTTCCGCTCAGAAAAGGGCGTGGCAGAAACTGATCATATTTTTAGTAGGGAAATAGACTTCGCACAACCATAATTTTTAGATTTTTAGGATGTTTGGAGCCCGTAAGATAAGTTTTCACCAAGAATAGATGATCTCGGAAACGTCTTCAGTGCACCTTTAAGTTGCATTTTTTCTGTTCAGCTTTGTTTTAGCGACTTACTTACGAAGTGTTGCCTCGTGAGAAGTTCCACGAGCTCTGAAGTTGAGCTGTGTTGTTGTTTTTCTCTAAAAAGACTTGAACATTAACAGTTGGGATTGCAAGGATCGAATGACTGAGTGCACCCATTGTTTGCCATTGCAGGTTAACATAGAATAATTACGACCTCTTTGTCTGCTTTGTTTAGTTTGGAGTTTTGTCTCGTTCGAGTCATTACTGCACTTTGTCTATGCCAGGGGCTCCCAAACTGGGATGCTGCCCCTCCTGGGGCAGCACTGCAGACAGCCAAAGGGGCAACGGAGGCTCCTGAAAAATTATTCCGATGCTCATATACTTGGAGCAAGCTGAGACCAAAATTGTTATAGGAAAACCCAAAATACTTTACAAAATTCTTCCGGTGGTAGAAGGACCCCGAGGCGCGTGATGCTGTAGATGTCTTAATGATCCCATGGTTGCCACTTAGGGGACACTGTCTGCCCTCCTTCCAGTGAACATAGGGTGACCACCCGACTCATGGGACTGTCCTGCATTGAGGGCTTGTGTCCTGCGTCCCACAAGAAATACCGAAATCTTCAAAATGTCCCGCATTTCGCATTGTCGTAAAATTCACTGTGCAACTCGTTTCGCTGCCAAACAATGGGGCATGGAGAAGTGCGGAGGTCCATGGCAAATTGTGTGCATTGCGATGGTACAGCATTTTCTAACTAAGCATTGGGGGAAGTGACCTTCGTTCTTGCAGGAGAACCGACGCGCATGCGCCGCTGTGCGTCTCCCCTTGGTGGAAAAATATTGCAAGAGAAGATCGCTTGCCAAAAGTTGAAATATCAATTATTGTAATTATTTTCATATCATGCTTTTTCAATGCGAGAGGGTTTTTTTGGAAAGCTTTTTTTTTTTTTTCAGTGAAGACAAGGCAAAAAGCTTGCCACTCACAACGGTTGAAGAAGAACATAAAACTCAAAATTTGTGTAGGAGCACGTTGGTAAAAACAAGCATCGACAGGAAACAGTATGCCAAAAAAGATTGATTGTTTTTTTTGTTTGTTTTTTATTTTCATTTGATGCATTGAGTTCTGCTGCAGTCAATTTTTGTTATCAATTTATAGATTTAGTAAAATATTTGACATTAAATTTAAAGAGAGTATATCGCCTGGAGTGAAAATTAGAGCTTAATTGCCATTAGGTGCATAATATGCTTCCTGACAGCACAGGATATTAACTGTGTGTGCATGTTAATAGATTTCCTCCAATGGTGTTCCTTTTTTTTTTTTTTTCCAGTTGTCGCAGTTGTGATAATATTGTCCATTTCTTACTCCCCCCCCCCCCCCCCCCCCCCCCGGGTCAGCGTGTCCCGCATTTCGCTAGCTGGAAGGTGGTCACCCTACGTGAACAGTGCAGTGCTTGAGAGAATTGCAGAGCGGCAGGTATTGTTAACACAGTTTCACTGGCATGGCACAGAGAGCCAACATTCGCAAGTGTAGGAACATTGCAAGATGTAAAAAATGGTGAATCTGTGGCTGTTAGATTTTTTTTAAGCAGCTAATTTCTTGCGTGGAGCCTCTCTTGGCCCCTTTCCGTGCTGCACCCAATGAAACTGAAATGCAAACCAGTATGGAATTAAAAGGTGTGTGTTGTACTCGTACTTCATCATAAAAATGTTTATTCAATTACTTTTCAGGGCCGATGGGTCAAAGGAAGAATCTCAGCCGTCGCAAGAAGCAACCGACAGTGAAGCGAATGCAGGGGGCGATGATATGCGGTGATCTGAATGGTCGGCTTAGTTAGATTTTGATGCCTAGCGTGCCATCACATGGCTAGTGTCTGTCACCGGATGGTCCTTGACACGGGGGCTTTTGGTGGATACTAGAGGCAATCTGAGTTTCTTTGGCACTTGCTCCAAGGGATGTAAAGAAGCAGGGTCTGCTGTCTTTTGTTTGAGATATTTTTTTCTGTTATGATCACATTGGTGACTCGTTAACACTGACCTTGTTAGTTTCAATAGGCATTCCTTGACCGCTGTTGTGCTAGGTATTTTACTCAAAGATAACTAAATACTATAGGAGTGATTTAATTAAGACTTGGTTTCCTGCTCTCTGTTGAGCAGCCAAGGCAGTTTATATTAACGGTTGAGGAGGAATTGTTAAGCAATTAATTCCATAACAAATGGGATTGGAAAGTAACCAAGTGGCCACGAAGCGACTGTGAGGGTATGAGGGTCTCTAGTGTGGATACTAAGTATAGGATGTAGATCTGCAATAAGATGTGTTGGCCTGACCTTGTTGCATCAAGTATGGCTCGCATCAAAGGAAGACATTTCATCTGGGCTGGCCCGTGCTGTTCAAAAAATTGAGCAGTGGTAACTCCAGAGGTGGAATTGAATTCTCAGCTTGTTTTAGTTGTGTAAGCCATCCCTGTTAAACCTTTTGAATGATTCGGGTGGTGTTTTGATATGGAATCCTCTATCTTGCCTGATGGGCTTCCAAGCAGATGTGCCTAGTCCCAGCTATAGTATTTCTGTGAATATGTTTCGTAGCAGTTTCTGTTTTCTGCTGCGAGTTTGGCAGTGAGCCGCACAACAGAAATCATGAATGGTTGCAATTGCATATTGGTGCACTGGTTAAACTTACTCCACATAAGTGCTGAACATTTGTGAGCACTTACAAACATTTCCAAAGACCAGTTAGCATAATCAGACCCAGTTAGTGTTATGACTTCAAAGGTAGGCAAACATAATTATATTGATGCTAGTAACATATTATGTATGTATGAAGTATGTTGTGAATAACCCTGAAAATATTTAGCATGACTACGAGGGTCTTGCAAAGAACTGTGCGCGGTGGTTCATGTCACTGTTGCAGCCATTTACCATGGTCACCAGCAAGAAATGGAGGTCAAAGCGCGTGGCTGTGTTTTGTCCTTTTGCCATCTGTGTGTGGGAGAGGGAATACTTTGGTTTTCTTGTTAGCACACTGCCTCGGTCAGCTTTAGGAGGCACCCTTTGTCACCAGAATGCCTTGTCCTCGTAACTGAGAATTCTAGTTTCCAATGTTGTAGTACCTTTTATTGCCACTATTTGTATAAGCCCTAAAAAGCCATATTTAATATTTAATGTCTCGGTACAAAAGTACAGCCCCCCCCCCCCCCCCCAAAAAAAAAAAAATAAAGAAATCGACTTTTTTTTATTGCAAAAATAAACTGCATCGCCGAACGCTCATCCTTCAGCCAAATGTAGCGCTAGCAGTTCAAACCAGATACCAAAGTTTCAGCACTATCTGTTAGTGTTCAAAAGTTGCAAGTTATTTTCTCTTCAAATTTCAATAGGAAATATGAGCCCATTTTCAGGTACACGCCATAGAGCTCCATGTATTTGAGAGCTCTGTTGGCTGCCATTTTCCCATTGAACATTTAAGAAAATCACTTGCAACTTATGAATAAAATAACGGCTAGTGCTGAAGCTGGGCATCTGGTGTGGACCGTTAGCGCTACATCTGGGCAGAGAATGAGCGTTCGGCAATGCATAGTTTATTTTTGCGATAAAAAAAAAATGTGTAAATTTTTTGGGGGGTACATTTTGTACTTGCATTTTGCCCTGCTAGTGTAGGAGAGCGATATTTGCTGCCAGGGCAGCCTAGATACCAAGTCTCAGATTATTTTTTTTTTTTAGCTGTCAAGGTACAAAATACAACAGCTCAACACTTTTGTATTCTGTCCTCTTTGAAGTGAGGAGCAGTAATAATTAGTGTGTTTTGAAAAAAAATGCTATATATTTTTCATTTTTTTTTACAAATTTCCCTGTTGCAGTCAGGTTTCTTCCCTTACGTGGAGTATTGGTTGATGCAAGCACCAGGTATAGCAGATAGGGTGAAACTTATCTGCCACAATCTGTGACAACTCCTTTCAACAGAATAAAGAAGTGCATGAGTTGTCTGAATGCTTTTGTTTTATCAATCTCAAGGTAGGTGTGTGGACACTTATCAGCCCTGCAGATGATAGAAGCAGAATTCTGGAGAGGCTTATCATGCTCATATTGAACAGACTGATATTTTAAGCACTTGGAACGATATACCATTTGCAAAAATCCCAGAAGGCAGCATGGCAATCAATTGTGGGAACATCTGGTGCACTCATACTTGCTTACGTGGCTGTAACCAGTTCTGCAGAACAGATTCCCTAAATACCTCCCGGCACGTGGAGGACCCTGCATATTTTGCAAGCGGTCTATTGGAAGGGAGCTAGTGCAACCTAAAGAAACTTTACTTGAGTTTCTGTATAGGTTTTGGCAGTGAACTTGATTTCTGTAACGGGAACGAGAGATGCAACTTGTGAAGTATTTATTGGCTATTCAACCTTACATTGAGCATTGGGCCAAACGAGGAGTTTGCTTCCCAATGAATGGAGTCATCCTTGTAATGATAAGGCAAGAAGAACACAGGTCAACAAGCAGAACACCATTGACTATAGAATAGCAGTCCGTCCCACAAAGCATGCAATGCTTGGGCAATTGTGACACTAATACCGACAGCATTCAAAATAATGTAGGGTTCTCTACTGATGTTATAGCTTTCTATGGCCAATATTTTGACCCCCAGGGCTCACCAAATTTTATTTGGCAGTAGAAATTTCAGCATTGTTGGCCTTTAAACGCCATCGCAATACTCTGGGACAACTTCTCTTGGCATTTCCGAGAAGAGGAAGAGTGTGCGGGTTCAGCTTTAAACAGCGCTCAAAAGGAGAAAGTGCATGTGGACCCATACCTTTGACTGCCCTGCCAAGAAAAGTTGTCCCAGAGTATAATGCAGGGCAAATGGCCAGGGCCAAGCCTCGTGTGCAAGCTCGTGACTTAGCAGTGTATGAAGCAAATTCCAATCCAGCAAGCACTAATCAAACTGGTTGGGCAGTGCCGTAGTTCGATGCATCCTTCTACATGCTTGCGTTGGCAGTAAGTATAGCCATACAGCATCAACATTTTCACAGTAGAAGCAATCATCAGTAGTGTGGGACTGTGGAAACTACATTGCAAACCTAGCAAGTGTAAATTTGCACATGGCTGCTCCATGTTGGTTGTCAAATGATCGCTTGGAGCACAGACTATTTGTTCTGCTGCTTGAATTGCGTTCTTGTTGGCATGAGGAGCAACCACAGTTTGGTACTGGTACATCTTACAACATTGATGCCGCAGGAATCGCCATTGCACCACTAAGATGGTTGTAGGGTAAATGATTACATCAAGGAGTTTTATTTGCCAGCGAAGAACCTCATAAAGCACACTCAACTTGTAGCATTAGAACACCGCTACTACATGAAGCATGGAATGTTTGCAGGTCTCGACGATGTAAAGCCAATGTCAATTCAGCCGAGCACAGGGAGCAATTTTTGAAACATTCTCTCTCGAGAGTGGGCAATGCACAATCTGAATAACTTATATTACAAAAATACAATGCACAACCAGCTGGTATTTCACGGTTTGATGCAATGCATGCCAGTTTCTCGCGACTCGGCCTTTGTGCAAGGAACCTACCCGGGCAGCTCAAAACTGTGCGTTCTAGCCTATGGCAACTTCCTTCGTCGCGAAGCCACGAATTCTCTTTCGGACAAGGTACACAAAATGAGCCAAACAATCCATCATAAAACTGAAGGACAGATGTGACAAAAAAGACTGGGCAACTGACGAAAACCTCAAAAATATTAGATATCACAACTGATCGTAAAGAGGACAGACAACACAAAAAAGAAGGCCTTTAAGGCCATTCCCTTTGCGAATCTCAAGTATCCTTAATGGGTTACATCCCGAGCTAAAGAACTTTGCAGTGCCAAGTGGTATCGAGACTCCTCTCCATATGACTAGTTTGAGAAATCATGTGACAAACTGTAATTTCTGTACTCGGGCAACTCCCCTAAACTCGCTTTGCAATCAATACTCTGCCAGAGCAAGCATTCTCAATGCAAGGTTTAAAGGCAGAAAAAAAAAAAAAAAAAAAAAAGATGCAATAGTTTCTGCAGCTAAGTACAGAGGAACGACAGTACAAGAGCTAACATCTGGTAATAAACAAGCACACACACAGAAAAAAATCTCCAACACCAGGGTACCTTAAGTACATTTCATAACGTGGGAGCGCAGTCTCTCTCAGGGTAGGGTAAACGACAAGCAATTGCAGGCTGGGAAAACCTGGCTTGTCTAGAAGTGCTCCTGCAGCAGGTCTGCCAGGACTTTGGAGACGCCATCCTTGCTGCTTCGAATGGTCAGTCTGTACATCTGTGCTTGGCGATTGGGCTCCAACCGCAGCAGGGACCCAATCTGCATACCACGGGTGTGGATGATGCCAGCGCAGACGAAGTTCTCAGGGTTGGGGTCGATCCCGTCGAGGAGCTGCATTCCAAAGCCAGACAGCTTGGAACGAATGCTCTCATTTTCCATGGGGAATCGGGCCTTGAAGATCTTCTGCTCCTCCTGTCCCGGGCTACTGAGGTTCTTCCAGCGCGAGAAGAAGGACTCTGAGTTCATGGCTGTGGGCTCCAAAAACTTGTTGAGGAATACCGGAAGTCGGAGTGTAAACTTTTGCTGCACTCCGCAGTAGACAAACTGAACCACCAAGCCTGGTGCCTCCGGGAAGTCATTTACGCATTCTACGTTGACCATTTGTTCCACTTGTGCCCCCGCCTCGATGGCAGGCTCAACTGGCTTGACTTGGATGCTGAGAGCAGCGCTGTCGCTGGTGACGTTGGGCAGAAAGCTCTGGAACTGGGAGACAGTCTTGTTGCCGTAGAAGAGGCCCACACGCCCGAGGTTCTGCCTGAACTCTGCCTTGACTCCAATCTGCAACAGGTCATTCTCAAAGAGGATGCCGTTGTGCTTGCAGACAAACTTCTTGAGACCTTCCTCATTGGAGACCACTACAGCAGTGCCTCCCTGGATTCCAGAAGAAGAGTCCTCAAACACATCCACGAGGCATGCAGTGGTGCCATTTGTGGGTGCTGGCTGGCCGGCCAGTGCTGCTGGTTCTAAGGAGAGTCCCAAGAGGTCCATGGTTGCTGGCGCTGCCCTGTTGGTTGCTGCGCCGTCTGCAAGGAGTGGGGCAGCACGCAGGTTCTCCTTGTTGCTCGCATTAATCCCCTCAGTCATGCCCGGCTTTTTGCGCTTTAGGATGGCCAAGATGGAAGACTCCCGCTCTGGGAATGGAGGCATTTCTTCAAGCACAGTGGCGAGTACATCTGGCGAAGCAATTTGACTCAGGTTCAGGTATTCGACGGCCCGCTGCTGCAATTCAGAGTCGGCGCAACGGATGTTGCTGTTGCTGCGGAGGATGTTCTGGATATCCATTTTTATCTCGGGAAAAAGGTTGATGAACTTGACATAGGTGGTCAGGAGAAGTGCCCTGGTGCTGGCAGAACACAGATGATACTTGGAATGCAACAGCTGAAACTGGATTAGTGGACTGGAGCGCTGGTCTCCCGCAATCAAGTTCCCAAACTCTCCCAGAATGTAGCCAGCCACTTTGACCATGTTCTCGTGGCAGGCAGGTGCCTGGAGGGCTTCAAAGACAGTCTTTGCGGCATATCCTTGAACATCCTCTCTGTTGATGACTATCTGGATCACACGGTACCAGACCTCTTCACTAACATAGTCACCTGCGATTCTGATCAGGTTGAGGATCACATCCACATACCAGGTGTAGTCTGAGGCATACTTCTCGGCCAGAATAGCCACCTTGAGCACCATTTCTTCGCGGATGGAATAGTCGGCCGTCTCGAGGTAGGCCAGCATCTCGGCGACGATCTCTTCGGCATTAGACTTGTCGCACATGGCGTAGAGCAGGTCGACGGCGCGCTGGCGCACGCTCACGTCGCGCTCCGTCTTGAGGGCGTTCACGACAGTCTCCTGGTGCTTTTTCACGGCCTCGTGAGAGAACTCCGAGGTGGCCAGCAGGCAGAGGCTTTCCAGGGCCAGGTATCTCAGATTGGTCTCCCGATGCTGTAAAAACTGGCCGAGCTGGTTGCAGGCCCGCACCAGCAGGTTGGGCTCGATGACGGCGCCAAGCCGGTCCATGTGGATGATGAGCGAGATGGCCTCGAAGAGCACGGCGTTCTTCGCGTTCGAGTGCTGCACCTTCTTGGACTTGGGCGGCTCCTGAGCCTTGTTCAGGATCGTCTCCAGGCACTCGTTGAGGCGGCCCCGGACGCCCGGGTCGTCGGGAGGCGGGTAGTTCTGAAGCAGACGCAGCAGCTTCATGCTCAGCCAAGGCGCCGGCACGAAGTAGTACGTGTAGTCCTGCAGGTCCGTGTACGAGGCCGTCACGATGCGGCTGAGCCGGGACACAGCCAGGGACACGCAGCCCTTGTACTCGTCCGGGTTCTTCTTGACCAGGGCGTCGATGAGGCTCACGGCGGCCGTGACGACGCCCATGTGCTGGTCGTTGAGCAGGTGGATGATGCGCGACGTCCACTCGCCGCTGGGCGTGATGTCCGGCAGCGTACGCAGCAGCCGCAGCAGGCACAGCGCCGCGCTCTGCTTCACGACGTCGATGGTGTCGCCGGACACCAGCAACTTGGGGATTTCGCCGCCGAACGTCTCGGCCATCTCGCGGCTGCCGATGTTGGCGATGCACTGCAGGGCCAGGTTCACGTGAATCGGGTTACGAGCGCACAGATCGTTCTTGATCGACTGGATAATGAGCCGCATCAGCTCGCTGTTCTCGTTTAGCAGCACCGAAATGAACAGGTAGCCGATCTGCTTCTCGGAGTATTTGTTCGAGCTGAGAAGGTTGACGGCTTCCATGTGGCCGAAGTCGATGTCGTGGCCCAGCAAGAAAATGAAAAGGAGCTTACATACGTACTTCTTTTTCTGGTAGCCGTCCAACGTCTTGTCCCCTTTGAACTTGGAACGAATGTTGGCGAGCTCCTTGTTGATGCGCTTGATCTCCGCCTCCTTGCTCTTGCAGTTTCGGATATCGGATATGAAGACCGCCAGCCCGCGGATGCCGTCCCCTCGAACCGCAGGCATCTTGAACTCGGCTCGCTCGAAGGCGTGCGAATCGGGGCTCGTTCAGCTCGAATTAAACGCCTCCCAACTGATATTGCGAACGCTACTTGCGCTAATACGCCTCAAAGCCGGATTGGCAACAACTAAACGCCGCGTCCAGCTCCGCGGAACAGCAACTTGGGAACGCTGCTGCAGCGATCAGGGTTGTCTGGTCGCGGTCTGTCTCGCCCGGCGTTTTCGCGAGCCTGTTTATCTGCGTTTTATCTGCCCTTTAGCTGCTTTAGCTGCCCGAATGCTGCGCTTCCCGAGTCACTCTCGTCGGGACAGCGTAGAAAATGACGACGCACCGCGTAGGCTGCTCTACAAAATTAATTGATATTTCTGACGGGGCGATTATCAAATCTGCCAATGCTCTGATCGCCGTAATGATTGTATAGATTGTATGCTTGTATTCGTTGCATTATCAACTTTAAAGCATTATTATGTGCTGCCTGCGCTGATGTTACCGTTTTACAGCTTTCAAGAACTTAATACTTCCAAATGCTGTATGAACTCTCAAAATAGGATAAATAAACTAAACAACGTTGATTTCGCGTAAATTTATTTTATTCCAAAGTAAAATTTATTTATATTTTTTTTTAATTTGTGTACGTAACTACTAATGAAATACTGAAACAGTACGACTGACTTAACATGTACAGGAGAGACCGGACGATTTTTTTGGTATTGGAGTTTCTTGGTCCTTTTCATGCGCTTGAGCTTTAATTGATGGCTCAGTTGCTAATTGACACTCTAACAGGTAATTTTTGATGCGTTCCCATTTTTTTCTGCTAAAAAACGCGTTGTGATTTTGTGCTATTCTAGGTACCTTGATTTATTCCTGTGAATGTTCTTAGTACTAAACCCGAGTGCTCGCGTCAGTTTCGCTCTGGTACAGTCACATACGATCGAATCACAGTGAAAATAGTGTGCTATGTTTGCAGTAACCTTACTCTCTCCGTTGCCTAGATTGGTGTATTTCTTTATTGGTGTAGCTTGCAGTGACGCTGTTCTAATCCCTACTAATATAGCAAGCAGGTTGGGTGAGCAGTAGCCATGCACAGCGAAGTAGGGCGTTCGGTCACATCGGTTTGTCGATCGTTACCGAGTGAATCATTTTACTACAAGCTCTAGCCTGTCCATGCATTTTAAAGTGTGTGTACTTTCCCGGTAATTTTGTGTCGTCCAAGGTCGATCTTACGCCTTTTATACTCTAACATATGAGTGTCAACAAAGGTATGTTATACCGAAATTACAGTGAGAGCGCAGGCGAGCTGGTGTATATTCACCATCTTGATGAATTACCCGAGACTGGGGTGAGAAACTTAGAAACATCAACCGTGGAAGAGAAAGAGAAAGTCTTTGTCCTCCTGTCACCTTTTTCTTTCTCTTCCACGGTGGATGGTTGTAGGTTTCTCGCCCCCCATCTCGGGGAACTCACCATGATGGTTACACGTCGTCCAATTCCGACAAGTTTAGGAGGCGCCACATTTTGCGTGTGTGTGTGTGTGTGTGTGTGCACACTTCACTAGAGGATCAGCCTGCTAGATTCTCTGCATCTACAGACTCGCGTTGAACGATAGGACAGTATGACTTGCAAAAGTGCCTCCAACGAGCACATCCATCGCGTCTGCTCGTAGGCTCTCCGAGTTCTTCTGAGGATCATGTTCAACGCCTCCATGTTGTCGAGTATGTCGGGTGATGATTTCGCCCTAGCTTACACATCATGTGAGAATTCATAGCTTGCACTGATGTCACTTCGTATGCCATGCTGGCTTGGTGTTTTAGCGAACAGTGAGTAGGTTCAAGCACCGGCTAAGTGATGGGATGGGGGCTGCAGCTGGCCACTTAACGGACTGCAGCTGGCTTAACACTAAAGGTGGGGTGTTCGTTTGTGTTGCAGGCAACGTTCTTGACGCACAGACTGTCTTGGCTGTGCAGCAGCTTTTCGAGGCTAACCAGACTGCTCATAATGATCAAGGTAAGTGAATGCAGCCTGTGATGTGAATCAGGAATCCGCTTCAGGAATGTGGGGTGGTTCTCGCCCCAGGGTTTTGTTGCACCGTGGAGAACCAGGATGATCGGTTGTGATTGGCAACTTAGATGGTATGTGTGAAAGGCACGATAGAGGCTTGGAGTCGTCACATTCTTAAACCAACACCATCAAACTTCACAGTTTGATATTACTTTTTGCTTCTGTGAAAGCAGAATCAGTCCCACTAAAAATGTCATCATGAGCATTTGGCCTGTCTGTGTCTTCCCTTCTGGCCGTTGTCCTGTTGCGCTTTTTAACTATTAGCATTTGGCCAGTTGTAAAAGGCCGACCACAGTGACACTTTTGTTCGTGCCAGTAACCGTATGACTTCTCGTTCACTCTTGACACATTCTAATCTAGCCTGCACCATTATGTGCCAGTTACCCCAGACCAACAGTTGTCCCTTCCCTTCCCAGCTGCCCCCTTAACCTTTATTCACCCTAAATCTGCCACTGGTTGTCACCGCTATCGAAGAGAGATAGACGGAATAGCATTATCGCACCTCTGGTGTGTGTCTTCTCTGCGTTGCCCCTGTGTTATATTGCACACAGTTCCAGTTAAGCTCGTATGACTGCGAGTCTGAGTTGCACTCCCTGCCACCTCGCGAGAAAGCGGGCACTACTGCTTGCTCCAAAATACACTTTAAATTATTTTTCGCACGTCTTTGTGAATGTGCAGTGTTGGAAGCAGCGTCTCAGATGGCAGCAGGGGAGGAGGAGGAAGAGGACACCTTCCAGTGCGGCCGCTGCAAGTGCAAGTTCACCGCACTGCCAGACTACTTTGCCCACAAGAAGGAGCCTTGTGCAGGAAAGCTGCCCACCAGCCTCTGCGACGCTGGGACCACCTCTGCCGTCACCGTGGGAGACCGACTTGCCTCCTCCTCTCAGGTGGGGGCCCTCTCTGTGCTGGAGTGGGTTTAAAAATATTCCTTCATTTCATCACTTGGAACAGAAACTCAAAACTAACTGTCCCCAGTTTTTGGTGGTAAGACAAAGGAGCCTAATGATGGTAACTGGTAAGGTTGTGCAAATAATGGATTTTGAGTTTGAAGCAAATTCAAAGTGAATAGTGGTTTTTGCCGGATATTTTCGAATTGCATATTGAATAGTTTCTCCAAGCCTTTCACTGCCGGACCATGCTTAAACGAAAACCCAACTGATGTCGTGAAGGTTGTTCCCGAGCTTCCACTTGTCCATCACTGAGCTAAGTTAGTTTTAATCTAATTATATTGATGGACCGTGACCTCAGAAAGACCAATGCCTACATAAGGATGGCAAGTAGACGACACATTTGATATAACTTTAAACCAGGGATCTTCAAACCCCGGCCCGCGAGCGAAATCCGGCCCAGGAGGTCTTCCGACTGGCCTGTGGCTGGCCACGGTCCACCCAATGAAGCCCGGCCCGCTTCCAGCAGGCCCCCTGCTACCAGCGCAACAATAAGAGTGCATAAAGAAACAGCACCACAGCGCGCACCAACCACGTACACGAAGATAGCAGAAAAAATAAACAAACATGGAGTGTGCCCTATCGTTATAGTATTCATTGAACATTGGCATCACCAACATCACCATTCTCAGTCTTTTCTTTCATATCTGTATAACTACCGTATGCATGTTAAAATTCCTTTGCGTTTACATGTATATTGCACTCAGTCTCCTCCCAGAGGGAGGAGCCAGCAAATTAGATATTTAAGAACCCTCACCCCCCCCTTATTTTTCCCCTCCCTGAAATGTTACACATGCGGAATTCAAGAGGGGGGTCAGGACATCCGACCCCCCCCCCCCCCCCCCCTCCCTTCCTCCTTTGAATCCGCCACTGTACTTAGTGACCCACCGTAAAATACTGCGGAAGCGCCCACTTTGTCCAAGTGCCCATGTCTAGATTAACCCAGTTTTCAGTGAAAGAGGTGGGCGCTTCCCCTGTATTTTACGGTATGTCGCATATATTGCATGTTGTCAGCACGAGTTCTATCATTCTGTGAATTCTGCAAATTATACGTTAAGTGCCCGATTTGAACAGACAAGCGCCCATGTCTAGATTAACGCAGTTTTCAGTGAAAGTGGGGTGGGCGCTTCCCCGGTATTTTGCGGTATGTCGTATCTCTTGCATATTGTCAGCACCAGTTCTATCATTCTCATTAGTCTTATGCCCTATGTGAACATGCCAACTGTCATAATTAGCTAAATATTAAATTTTAAAATGAATTATGTGTGTCCAGCCGCCTTAATGTTTACTCTAAACTTTCAGTTTGATACTTAAATGTTTGTCTAGGATTACTTCTTTGGTTTTTCCTCCTATTTTCCAACCCACGACACAACGACAGATCTTCGATCCAGCCCCTTAGCCAAAAGGTTTTGAGACCCCTGCTTTATACCTAATCGAGGGGATTTACAAATCTTCTTGCTATATGCAAATATTCTTTTAAATCACGAATTTGAGAAAAGGAAAAAAAGACAATCATGAGCGATGAATACTGGCTGTCAGGACATCTCAGCCTAACATAGCATAATCGCAAAACTTTAATTAAAAAAAACATTCACAGGTTTTTTTGTTTTTTTTTATATATATATATATATATATATATATATATATATATATATATATATATATATATATATATATATATATATATATATATATATATATATATATATATATATATATATATATATATATATACATACATTACGTGGGCGTGCACCATCCCGCTTTGAATGCGTGCTCTCTTAAGCATGCAACTGCAATATTTGTACTTTCTGAAATGTTGATCGCGTAGAGTGTGCTTCTTACCAAGCAATGGTGCACTGCGGGGAAGCAGCTCCCACGGAAGCGAGCTCTGCAGGCGTTGCTGCACCACAGTGCACTGGTGCTCGGTAAGAAGCGCACTCAATGGGGCTAACCCACGCGATCGTCGCTTTAAAAAATATGGATATTGCAGTTCATTTTCAAATAAATATCAAACAGCATATTACTTGAAACTACCTATAGTATTTGTGTATTCGCGCAACCCTAGTAACTGGGTTTCCCTCACACATGCCAATAAGCAGTGTCCGTATATGGGCCTGCCATTAAAACCCGAGTACTTTGTCTTACTTGTGGCCTGTTTTTCCCAGGTACGGTCCATCCCAAGCCTCACTCAGACATCCCTAAGGCAGAGTACATCTTCGAGTCCCATGGCATAGTCAATTGTTCATAGGGAACCCAAAATGAGAAGGAACTTTTTAAATTTTGGAACGGCTAATTGGGACGGTGACTGCGCCCTGCCTCGATTATGTATGGCTGCACGACCATACCTATCGAAGGAGGCCACGTGGCCAGTCAGAAATGATAGGGTTCCCGAACAAGCTGCCCGGCAGATAGACAATTGAGATTGAACGAGCTTCTGCGTTTGGTCTCCTCCAAAGCAGCTGAGCCCGTTCCACCAAGGCTTGCCGCAGAGTGCCCGCGTCATCCTGAGCGAGGCAGACCTGCTGGCCCTGTCGGGATCCCTGGAGGCGTCGACGCAGCTGGAACTGCAGACGGCCGATCCAGGTGGCACGCAGGAGGTGCTCGGAGCCAGGTCGGTCCTCTCGCACAGACCCCTGGAGGGGTCGCCCGCCCGGGAAGACTCGGAGGTGGAGACGACCCTCTCGCTCTACACTCTCGAGACGGCCACCTCGGACATGACCAAGAAGATGGCGGTCAATGTGAGTTCTTTCTCTAGAGTCCACATACCTGGCAGACTGCCATCCCCTAATAGGCTCCCACCGCTAGGTAATGAAAAGGGAAATGAATCTATACTCCGTTCACTCTTGGAGCTGAGACTGCAGCCAATGCGACAAGCATGAGACCACGAGATACCTGCTTTGAAACCTTTTTCAGCAGAAAGAGCGCTCACGCTCGAAGTGCACCTGTCAAAGCCAGGAGCGCTGTCTAGCTGTCTACCCAGTAATCGACAGTACTGCCTTGCAGTTTCGTTTGATATTTTGGAAAAGTGATTTATGACAGTCTTTTATGAATGTACTTGCAAAAGTAATGTCGGGGCACCTGGATTGACCGACGTTTGTTGTCACCGCTTTTGCACCGACTCTTTGGGATAGTTGTGGCACTAGTATGCAGATTGATGCCCATGGCCAGTTTAGCTCAAGATCCGTGTTTGCCAGCAGTTCATGTTTGCTCTGAGCCTTCATAGAAAGTGTGTCTGAAGGCACACTTCCATAGTGTCTTCTCTTGGGATATATTTCGGAGGTATCTCGAGAATATACATCTTGAAATGCGGGACTCTCCTAGAACAATCCTTTATTAAAAAACCTGTAAACATTTAGAATAATATGAAGCAATCTCAAAGTTGCCTAGCTTTTGTTGGTTCAGAGGTTGAATTGAATACCATGAAATTCTGAATGAATGCCCACCCACGGCTAAGATATAAACGGGGAAAACTGTAAAGTGGACGATTGGTTCAGAATGAGACGGCGCAACGCTATACAAAAATTTATTTATTTATTTCAATACCCTCAGGGCCCAGAGGGCATTACAGAGAGGAGTGGACAAGAACAACAACAAAGCAAGAACAATAAAAATTAAACAAAAAAGCAAAGGCCAACAGTGCACTTCTACGAGAAAGAAGAAAAGTTCTGCTTAATATTTATTAGCAAAAATTATTACCTAATGCATAGGGGTGTGCGAATATTAATATTTTCAAATACTTACTGATTATGAATAGTTTGCTTCGAGTATCGAATAGTCGAAGGCATTTAGTGCAAGGTGCATTTATTCGCAGCATTTTTATTTTCACATGTCGAAACTGCAGTTAATTTTGCTTTTAATTTAATTTTTTTTTTTTTTTTTAACTGCAGAATTGCAGTTGATATTTCTGCATGACAACTTGTAATCTTTCCTAGAACTAGGATTTTGGTTTTGGTGTTTTTAATCTTGTTAACACCAGTGAGGCACTGGTGTTAACACCAGTGCCTCACTGGTGTTAACAAGAATACAAACACAAAAATGAAAATTCTAGCTGTAGGGCAGAAAAATCAGCTGCTGCACATGTCAGGTAGGAGGCGCTCCCTTCAAGTGGAAACTACACCTCAAGCCACAGAAAAAAAAACTCTCTCACTCAGCACTGAAATGACAGGTATTGCCAGGTATTTAATGCAAAGCTTCGCCAGACTCGGATATCTTAAGCACCCGACAGTTCGCCACCACTCACACGGATAACCCTCTCTCTTTAACAGTGTCTCCTCCGCATATGCTACAACTTCCCATTCTGAAGCTGAAAGCACTCTGATTTCCATTGCACTTTTGGCTAAGTGGTCAAATGCTTGCCAAACATCTGCTGACGGCGTTGAGCCTTGCTCTTGTGACTGTTCACAGCACTGTGACTGGCAGCCATGTGTCGAGCGTTCAATGTGAACCGCTTCATCATGAATTTTGGAGTGAGAAGATGGCAGGTGAAGCTCACGTAACTTTTGTTAGCGCGCAATGTAAACATGTCGCTTGTGAAGGCAACACCGGTGGTGTTGCCTTCAAAGGCACTGTTTAGCTCTGCTTTCACCTTCTTTCGGGTGTCGTCATATATCCATGGCACAAGCACGCGCGAGCGTGTAGAGCGGGATGGTAGGCGATAGTTGGGAACGGCTTCTGTCAATATTTTTTTTGAAGACGCAGGCTTCCACAATGCTGTAAGTCTGTAAATCAGTCGCCACCATGGCAGCTACCTTGTTATTTAGCACTCACACCCTCTTTTCTGGCTGACGGTCTTCGTGCGGCGTACGAAGTCCGTTAGCCTCGGTTGATTTTTTCCTGGCGTACCAGCGGTAATCATACAATGCTCTTTCAACAACGCAGGATTCACTTAAGGTGGTTGACAAGGGGCGCCGTCATACCTGCGGCCCTTTCAAGCGTTGACTCGCATGCCGTAGATTGCGCCATCGATGCCGTCACCCTCGCAAAATATTTCCAAATAGCGATCCTCTTTTTTCGTTTTCGTGCCGTTTCCGGTTCATTCCTCCCAAAGGTTCCTCCGCTTTGCAGACGGTTCCCTGCAATCACCTCCATCCACCATAACACGGGTGGGCGAACGCGAAAGTGAGCAGTTTAAAAAGTCAGGAGTCACAAGGGAGCAGAAACTTCCAGATTACTGCTACCGATAGCGACGCCACCAAAATTGAAGCTAGGGAGGCTTCCTAGTGGAAGCTGCCATGCAGCTATGTCGCTGTCAATTGGCCTTGCTTACCGAAAGCGAAACTTACGCTTGCGAATACGTTCTTGAATATTCGATTAATTTCGAATATCCGTGTTATGACGAATATTCGAAAAATACCAAAGGCTCAGTTTACGAATCAAATAGGAATATTAAATGCATGATATTCTATTCGTATATGAGATTTTGAATATTCGCCCACTTCTACTAATGCAGCTCTAAATAAATCAATGGATGGTATGTTTACTAAAGATGCGGGAAGGTGGTTCCAATCGGAGGACTTTCGAGGAATAAAAGGGTCAATGTGCGCTGAGGTTTTGCAGTGAGGTACGCCCACTTTAAAGTGACGATCGACGTGCGGAGAAATAAAAGATGGGCTGAGAAATAGCCTTTCCTTCAGTGAGGCGTTAGAATGATAAATTTTGTAAAACAGGCATAGGCGTGATATTTTTCGACGTAGTGAAAGAAGAGGCAGAGATAGAGTTGTTTTCATTGATGAGACACTAGCCGTGCGATAGTAGTTGCAGAAAATGAAACATACTGCAAGATTTTGCATGGCTTCGATGTTATTCATGAGCGTTGTTTGACCAGGATTCCAGATTGCTGCGGCATACTCGAGCTTTGAGCGAACTAGACCTTTGTATAAAAGTAGTTTTAAGGACATAGGTGCTGAAGAGAAGTTTCTTTTCAGATATCCAAGCAGGGAATTAGTATTGGCGATAATGTGATCAGTATGAGCTTTTCATGACATGTTAGAAGTAATGTTTACACCAAAATATTTATAAGAAGACAAACTGCACAGGAGTGTTACAAATTGAGTTTGACAATGGGGACTTATTAACATGGGAGACATTCATAGCTTTACATTTGTTAGTATAAAGAGACATTTGCCAGACGTTACACCAGTTGGATACCACGCATAGGTCACCTTGACGAAATGTTCTATCAGATTCATTAGTAATTTCACGGTAGATTACACAGTTGTCGGCAAATAAACTAATGGATTATGATACACAGGTGGGTAGGTCATTAATATAAGTAAGAAATAAAATAAAATTAATTATAAACATGCCGGCACCCACTACGAACTAACATGGTGCAGGAACCGTTGTTGCAGTAAAATAAAGTGTGCTTATTCATCAAATATACCGAGCATGCACCCATGTCAGAATGAGCACCAACCTGCTACTTTGAAAACATTTGAAAAATAAGCACTGGACATATCAAGTACCTACCCTAGACTTTCGAGCCCACCTTGCTTTCCGAGATGTTTCTCTGCGTTGGCCGCTTTTTCGAGCACACCGTTGCAAAGTGGTGAAGTCCACACTATCACGTGCCTCTTCTGCATATTTGCTCTCAGACCTGATGAGCAGTCATCTCTTAGTTTTTCAAGATTATCTTATTATTGTATTTGGGTGCTTGCTCGCTATTTTATGAAGCATGGCCAGCGTATCCCATAAATCTAGCTCGTTTGGGACCCCAGCACATTATCTTTTAACCGGTAGCGTGGTGACTGAAGGGTATCCTGTCGGGTATTGCATGGATTTGATGGGGTGGGTGAAATTTAAACAGTTTTCTGCCATGGATATTTAGCTGGGAAATCAGGATGACTTATGTTTGTAGGGCTGGCATTTGTTTGGGGTTTTATGGCACACTGATATTCTAATCAGTATATTTGAAAATTCAGAACATTCACTCGCATCTACTGTGCTGTCACGAAGCAATTAATCGTCAACCGAAATTGCGGTCACCCGATTACCGTAACGCTTTTGTGGTGATCCATTTCTTAAAGCTAGTTTAGAAATGCTATTTTTAGCACTACTATAATTCAAAATGGTTGCCCAACCAAGCCCTAATTTGCAGAGACCCAACGTTTCGAGGCCTCCTCGGTTTTTTCATCGTGAAACACTATAGATGCAGATGTTCCTAAATTTTACTTTAAGAACACCTGCATCATCGATGTTGAGACTATCCCCCGACGGAGTCTTTTCTGGGAATTCTGGCACATTCAAACCATGTGAGAAAACATTAAGAAGTCACATACAAAACTTGAAAGTATAAAACTGAGAGGACGAGGACGGGAACAGGACATCTTTCATTTAGCAACAACATAGAATGGCACAACGATAAAACCGCCCCCCAAGGTCTCAACGTTCTCAAAGAGGGAAAGGAGATACTAGTTATAAAGGAAAGGGAATACACTAAATAGAAAAGTTTGAAAAGCGCATCAATAATCTAGTTATCTCCGCTTACTTTAACTAGTATCTTCTTTCCCTCTTTGGAAACGTTGAGACCTTGGGGGGCGGTTTTATCGTTGTGCCATTCTATGTTGTTGCTAAATGAAAGATGTCCTGTTCCCGTCCTCATCCTCTCTGTTTTATACTTTCAAGTTTTGTATCTATTAACCAACACGCTCGGTTTTCAATTGTAAATTGAGAAGTCCCTCTGCCTTTATCCATCTATATCAATGGGTGCTTGTTGTCTGTCAATCTTCTTTACTCTCTCTGTATTGTACTTACTCTGTCCATATTCTACTTGTACTTTCAAGAATGAACCCACTAGCCCAATCGCTAATATTATGTGAATGTAACCGTAGAAAAAGTAAAAGACAATATCTATTACACCTCGGTAACCATAGCCATAGTAGCCCCTGAAGAAAAGGCATAGGAGGCCTTGAAACGTTGGGTCCCCGAGAAGTGGGGCTTCGATGGATGTCCCTCTTTAATTACTGTTTCCCCAACCAGACAGACGACTGTCAAATGTTCACATTCAAATATTTTAGTACCTTACTCACAATGACAATGGCTCTTTTCCTGGCTTTGTAAGTAACAACAAAGCCTTTTATGCTGGGACGGTGAGTCTATTCATATATTGAGTCCATTGTGCGTTCTTCTAAACAGTTTTTGCTGTTTACCAAATGTTGCGACAGTGTTGCTTTTTCCCAGTCAGCACGCTTCTGTCGGCTCCGTTGCAGGACGGTACGGTGATGCAGATGGTGCCCGTGAACAGCCTACTGGACTCTCCCGAGCTCCGGGTACAGGTGGACGAGAAGGGGGTCGAGTTCATCGTGGCCCACACGGAGCAGCTGTCCGAACAAAGCGTTGACGGGCAGCTCACCTCCGTGACGGCCACGATTCCACGGTCACGCAGGCGCGCCCAGCAGACGGGCTCAGAGAGCCCTTCCTCCCACAAGCGGGTCAGTGGGAAGCTCTGCCAATAGTACCCCGAAGACGAGGCAGGGGATGTGTCCACTAGCGATGACGTTTGGGAGGGAAAGGCATTGGCTCTTATAGTTCCCTCGGGGAAATAAGAGCCAAATTTCTCAGTTTCTGCTCTCTGTTCTCTAGATTGGAACGAAGTTTGCACAATTGAGTTATTGCCTCTCTTTCCTTTAGTTCTGTTAGAGTTGCAATGCTACCGTCAGACGTGCCACTAGTGGGATGGAAAGTGCTCATTCGGGCCAGCAACTTGTGCGGTAAAATCTGATGCCCATCAGTATTTTGTTGAAGACCACCAATGTTTTGCGGGTGTTAAATGTGCTGCCCAGTGTATGTCTCTCCATTCAGCGTTGCAAGGCTGTGAACATTGGGGACATGTTTGTAATTGTCTGCTGCAGACATTCAGCTGTAGTCCTGCCAGCTTCTGGTGCAAAATGAGCTTAAGGCAGAATGGTGTGCATCAGTCAATGTGCCTCGAGTAGTGACCTGGTTGGTTTTGAGGGTTAATTAGTACAAACCTATGAATCCCCCTCCTGAAGCGCGGACGCAGTTTTGAGTACTTTATATGACGTGGAGCTTCATTTCTTTGAAATTGCTCATTTCTGCTGTGGGCACTTTAGCTCGTAACGCTTCTTTGTGTTGCTCTGGCTTCATGTCCAGCTCCTGAAGAGCCAGAAGTGTCCCTTCTGCTGCAAGGCCTTCAGCAAGAACTTCGACCTTCAGCAACACATTCGCTCGCACACGGGCGAGAAACCATTCCAGTGCGTCATCTGTGGACGCGGCTTCGCACAGAAATCAAATGTCAAGAAGCACATGCAAACGCACAAGGTACCTCATCCTTTTGCATTCTTGATCCTGCTTCTCAGTAGCTGATAGGAAAGCTATTTGCCTACATTACCTGCATTTGATATAGAGTAGCCATTACATATTACGGTCACTTGTTGCCGACCGCTTCAATAATTAGTGTCTACTGTAATGTCTGCCTCTTTTTTTACATCTGCAGCCTGAAATGCCCCTTGAGAGACAGCTGAATATTCATTTAGCTAACTTCAGTATACTTTCTATTTGTTTTGGGGGATGTTTCATGTTTTGTGTTTCAGTGGGAGTTCATAGAATGCCATTGTCACAAGAAGGGAATTCAAATAATATGTCAATAAAAGACGCAAACATTGAAACAGTGACATGAAAGTGTGCCTCAAACAGAGAAGAGTGGTTTTAGGCAAAGGGAATTGAGAGAGCTTTGAATGGCTTTTCGTATCTCGACACTATCTGTCAAATGTCCCGATGTTTTGCCGGTGTAAGTTCATAGGGTCACTTTCAGCCAGGAGTGGTTTTGCCGGTGTAAGTTCAGAAGGGTCACTTTCAACCAGGTGTGGTTTTGCCGGTGTAAGTTCAGAGGGTCATTTTCAACCAGGTATGGCCCGATGGCCTTGCACACACGCTGCCTGCACCCATCTTGTCGGACGGTTCCCAATCCTCGGTTGATGAGCCTAACCCCAAAGAAGATGGACCAGGAACAGAAAAGGTGAGGGAAGATTTCCGCAGCATTTGCACCTTTGATGCCAAGCACAGTGTTCAGTTTTCAAAGGAGATGCCAGGTTTGTTTGCCAAGTGTTAATATGAAACAAAACCTCATCAGCAACTCCTGTTGCTTACTTCCGTAACAATCCTTCTGTTTTAAGTTGATGTCGGTAGGCATACATTTCTATTTCCTTACATGGGTGGGGACTCGCTGTTGCTGCTGTCACCGAGGAAAACCATGTGACCTTCTTGTGTTGTCTTTAGGGGTGAATTTCGCTGATTGTGAGCAACTTGCACCGGCTTTGTCTGTTTAGCCGCAGACTGGCGGTGGGGATGTGCTGCTTCTGGACAATAGCTACAGCTGCCCCTTCTGCACATTTGTGGGCAAGTCCTACTTTGAGCTCAAGAGCCACCTCAAGCACCATAAGCAGGAGAAGGTGAGAAGACTGGAGCCATTCAACATTGTATAACCTTACTGCAGGATTCCTGGTGTAGGAGGAATACTACAGTCGATTTAGGAAAATTGAGAGGCTCTCTCCACACGCACCATTGCCTAGAAGTCTGCATGGGCTTGGGCCAGCCCGTACCCTGCCCGGCGCGCCGGCCGGGCCAGGTTAGCACACATTGTTCCCAGGTTCGGGCCGGGCTTGTGCTGGTACCAAGTTTTGTTCTCGGAACCCAGGCTAAGGCAAAGGTGTGGCGGACTTTCTTTAATCTCAGGAATAAAATGTTAATTGCTTTATTGTTAGATTTTGAAGCAATCTCACTAAAATTTCGTTAAAAAAAACTAAAAGGAGAAAGTTGTTTTAGACTCTGAAAGCCCACAAGAGGATAAACATACATATGTACCATAAAATACCGGAAAAGCACCCATTCCACTTAGACTGAAAACTGGGTTAATCTGGATATGGGCGCTTGTCCGGTCAAATCGGGTGCTTAACATTTAATTTGCAGAATTCCCAAGTTTGGGAAACGTCAATAGTGGGCGCTTGAACGAAGTGGGTGCTTCTGTGGTATTTTACAGTATATATAAAAAACAACATTGCAAACATGTCACAGGATCTTCGAAAGCCGGCAGTCTTTGCTCTGTTTGCCTACTCTCATTCTTTTCTGTGGCTTAACCAGAGGGCTTAAAGAAAAGCTGAAGAAGTTCTTGAAAAAAAAAAAAAAAAACGAGTTATAGGTGAATTCTAGACTACCTTTATCCCGTGAATTTGAATATCGCGTTCATTTCCTCTGAAGATGTAACTAAACGCAAGAAAACACGAAAAACATCCGACCAGTCGTTACGTCATAAAACAATCTTTTGGCCGCCAAGCTTGTGTCGCTCGCTTGGGCAGCGCGTGTACTATTTGCAAGCTTGGCAGGTATATTCCCCCCCCCCCCCACTGGTGCCGGATGTCTTTTTTTTTTACCTTTTTGAAAATAACAAGAGTGCACGTGCATAGCTTTGACAGGGGCTGAAGATGCGCGAGAGCGGAGATTCCGAAAACTCCTTTTATGACGTAACACTCCCGGAAGGAGGGGCTTCAGTGGTACTTTGAAAATAATTTTCTGCAGCCTCCGTGCATCAAATTGAAAAATATAATTTTGATATTCATGATCCTGAAGGCCAAATGAATAGGATTTAAAGGTTTTTATTAAAATACAGAACCACTTCAGCTTCCTTTTAAAAAGCGTGACGTCTGTTGTAGCTGAGGTCGTTCGACATCCGTTCACAAAGCTGGTTTCCGAAATGGGGGGATTCTTTTGTCCCAAAGCCGGTGTCCGACGCACGCTATGACACGGCTGGCTTGGGGAAATCGGAAAAGGCTCTGGTGGAAAATGACAACTTTGGACTACATGCCCTGGTATTGCTTTCTCGGCTCCCCTCTGAGAGATTTCTCTGGACAACATAGCGGAGAAAAGAGACGCCAGTGGCTGAAGCCTGCCAGCTCAAGGTCGTAGCTTGCGAGGCGCATATGTGGTCGCGCATAAAAAATATACAACTGTCAACTCCTTTGCCGCATCTTTTTTCTTTTTTTTTTTTTGCAACTTCTGGAGTCACGCTTGTTTCCCTGCTGAATGCTCCTGACTAGCTTAACCCCCAAAAACAAAAAAAATACAAAAAACAAAACATAAAAAAACTGAGCTTGGGAGGTACTTAGCATGAATGTTAGGATCTTGTGGAGTACCCTATTGAACTAACGACATGGATACCGTTGGTGGTGCGCAGATGTCTTTCCAATGTGAGTCACACTGTATTTCATGTATGTTTTTATTTTGATAGAACACATGCAGGAAGTTGGAAAGCTTACGTAATGGGTTTGGGCTTCAGACAGGCCTTCACAAATATGTAATTGCAGAGTGTAACGATGCTTCTTTGCTTTAGATTGCTTAATTTTCTATTGCATTGTATGCCATAATATAGTTTGCTTTTCCCTCTCCACTATAGTAGTGCTAGTAAACAGAGTGTGGCAAAAGTGAAAAAGGCAAACCACCAGGATTTTATCTAGGTTCTTAAAATTTTGGTTAATTAATGCTGTCAACCGCGCGTAAACGTTTTAATTCTGTTGATTAAAAAAAACATGCGGGGCTTTGTTATAAAACCTATGTGGAGTGCAAGTTTGTCTGCTTCTTGCAGAGTGGTTGTAATAATGTGAGAATGCCAAGCTCTCATTGGCTGATTAAAAAAAATAAATAAAAAAATAGTGGGTAGATCTCAAGGCATCTAGCACTGAGGTCTACCCACTATCCTTTCAATCTAACCGGCCGGGTCGGGCCTAGAAATTCCGGCCCGTGCTGTGCTCTACCACTGCCTACCCCATATGTGGATGAATATTGCGGAGTTCATGGGGTACTCATGTTAGCTCGCTAACGCTGTGACCAGCAATCGTGACATTGGAGCTGTTCATAGGGTTGAGCAAGTGCCACACAGTACATCGCCGTATGTAGACTCGGCTACTCCAATTTTTGTAGCGTCGGTTCTTGTTTAGGTGCAAGTATCTCGGTCTAAAATTGGTAAACCTCTCGGAAGCAGCCTTTCTAATAGGATTTGCGAGGTATTTCATTCTTGACTTCTTAGGTAGACAAGCCATATTTTAAGGTATGAACTGTCGGGCTGTTTATGGCAAAATGGGGTGAACAGGGCATTGATTTGAGCTTGTCCTTCGTAAAGTTGCCACTATAGAAGGCTGCGTATACATGCAGGTGTTCAAATGCATAGTGGGCAAGTGCGGGGAGATGTTCACGGATCTGGAGTCGTTCCTGGGACATGCCAAGAGCCATGAGAACAACATGATGTACCGCTGCCCGCACTGCCCCAAAACGCTGCCTTCCCTCTACGACCTCAACATCCACCAGCTGACCCACACGCTCTGTGTGACAAGCGACAACAGCAGCATCAGCGTCACCATCGGCTCCAATGGCTCCTCGGGCAGGAAGCCCCATGCCAGGTGGGGTTCACCAGCTCTGACGCTCTCTCGAGAAGTGATGCTTTGGAGGTTGCTGCTTTTGTGCACACTGTTTCTAAGCTTCTATTCTTGACTAGGGTATCTCAGTTACCACCGAATGGGGCTCATTTTTATGAAGTTTAAGATATTTTCAGTGAAAAGAAAAAAAGAAAAAAGTTGGATATTTTGCGTGATAATGTTGAGTCCTACCGGCAGTATAGAATTTATTTGTGGATAATTTTTTATATGCATTTCAGTTTAAACATGCTACATTGATGAGCTTATAGCAGCCACGTTAGATAGGTCCATGTTTTTTTACGTTTTATCATATTTGTTTCTCTGCCGTTTGCATCGAAACAAATGGCCTCCATTTATGGTATAATGGTGTCGAGAGTTCTCAAAGAACCTTTGGAGAAAAGATACTTTTTCACAGGGGCACTCTGCTACAGTCAGCATTTAACTTGACTAGGGCCTCGAGCCCTCAGAAATAAAATGATGACTGTAGCTAATTGTTTCCATACGAGTGAAAAGAAGAGGGCAGCTTCCCTGACTCAGGGTGTTTTGGCAGGATTCACCAGTGCAGCCACTGCCTGAACCGGTATGCAACACCCGAAGCCCTTGCACATCACCAGGCCACCTGCAGCCACAACTACCCGTGTCCCGTGTGCCAGAAGGTGTTCCCGTGCGAACGTTACCTGCGGCGCCACCTGCTGATCCACCGGTCGTCGGCCCCGCACGTGTGCTCGGTGTGCCACAAGGGCTTCAAGACGGACCACTACCTCAAGGTGCATGCGGTGGTGCACTCAAAAGAGAAGCCCTTCCTCTGCTCGCAGTGCGGGGCCACCTTCAACCGGCAGGACAAGCTCAAGCGCCACTACCTGGTGCACGAGACGGTGAAGCGCTACAAGTGCCCGTACGGGAGCCACCTGGGCTGCCAGAAGGAGTTCAGCCGGGCTGACAAGCTCAAGGCCCACCTGTTGACCCACAGCGGGGTGCGACCCTACGAGTGCCACACGTGCGGGCGCAGCTTTACGCAGAAGCAGCGCCTGCGCGAGCACGAGCGCTTACACACGGACGTGCGGTCGTTTTTCTGCTCCACCTGCCAGCAGGGCTTCGTGGGGCGCAAGGCGTTGGAGGAGCACGCGTGCCCCGGGAGAAAGCCAAAGCGGCAGTCGGCACTTCGGTCAAGGCGGCGGCGCTTCAACGGTGGTCGTCCGGCGATCCTTCGTCAGCAGCGGCTCGCCAGGGCGCGGCTGGTGGCGCAGGACGAGTGTCCCCCCGAGGCCCAGCCCGACGTGCCCACGGCCCACATTGAGATCATTTCTGCCACGGGGGACTTGGATGCGGCACTGGCGCAGGCCTACCAGCCGATCGACCAGACGGGTGTGGACGCGGATCCCGGTGGTGCGCCCCTGTTCTTTAGGGCACTTGAAGGGCACTACGACGACACTGCAGATAAGCAGTCGGATTGGGCTATCAAGGACGGGACGACAGAGCATCCGGTGATGGTGTAGACACTGCGGATGAGAAAGTCCCACATGCGTTCGCGGCTCGTTGGCGCCTCTCGAAACTTCTGGTTCGTGCGGGATTGTGCTACGAGAGAACCTTTCTAGGACAAACTGAACCGCCCCAGGGGCTAGCGTAAAAATCGTGCGAGTAGATTTTTTTTTTTTTTTTTCATGACCAGCTTTTATAGTGGAGCTATGGTGCCTGGCACGTGTCTCCAACTGGTGTATTTAGTGTCCTGTGCACACTTGCAAGCGGGGCATCTGGTCGCCTCCATAGATCTGCTCAGAGGAGCAAGCACGTGCCATTGCGGGCCTGCTAAAGCTACCTTCACGAGCACGCACATGGCACCGGTAGAAAAGCTAGGGTTGGCATTGTGCGTTCGTCCATGGATCAAAAGTGGTCCCAAAGTGACCAAAGCATTAAGTCGCTGGAGTCGGCGTGTCGTGCGGTTGGATATCGCAATCCTGGCTGTTACCGATACGAGTTCCGGCAAATAATACAGGCAGCCACGAGATTTGTTGTGGCCTCTCAACTCCGGGGGAGGGAAGGGGGGGAAGGGGGGGAGGGGAGGGGAGGGGAGGGGAGGGGAGGGGAGGGGAGGGGAGGGGAGGGGAGGGGGGGCTGCTGAGGTTTCAGTGGACTGTCAAGCTGGAGAGCGACCCACAGCAGTACAGCCATCTGCTGCGTTCACCTTCGCTGCTGTGCCATCGCCAGGAAAGCAACAGGATGACGCAGGTGTAGCATTGTCGGGCGGCAATCGAGGGACCAGAAATGAGGATACAAACACAGCAGTCGGAAACACCTTCCAGGCTCCACATTGAAAGCAGCTGTAGACATCTCTCGCAGTAGAATGGTACTAGGGTGGAGGGGACTCCAAGACCTCAAAAGACCGTGGCGCAGTACGCACGTCTCTTTGCGTGTGCCAAAGTTTGTTCGGAGTAGCTGGGACACTTGCCAGCAAATTATGAGCGGCTTTGACCGGTGGCTTGTGTAACGACGCAGTCCAAACGTAGGTTGGAACCTGGGAGAGGGCGGCATACCCCGCTGAATACTTGCATGGTAAGGCTTTTGGCGGCTTTCAGCACCACATGAATTTGCAGTTATTTGTCGAGGATGAATTATAAATGTTCTTGTGACGTGTGAGGCACCCAAACGCTTGATATGGCAAGTGTTGAGCATCGTTGCAACTAGAGATGCTGCAAACTTTTTTTCGAACCTGAGGTTTGAAGATTGCACTGAGGGAATCAAAGCGTTTCAAACATTTTACGTTAAGAAATTCAACTATTTTTAAACTTTTTATGCGAAGAAATTCAACTTTTTTTAAACGTTTTACGCGAAAAAAATTTGATTATTTTCGAACATTTAAATTTCTTGCGATAAGAGATTCAACAGTTTTTGAACTTTCAAACTTAACCACATTAAGAAAGTCAACAATTTTCAAACTTCCGAATTTGTGAAGTTAAAAAATTTGATAAACTTCAAACTTCCAAACAAACGTTCGAGAAAGTTCGAACAACCTTGCCCTCAAAGGTTTAGACTGGAGTGGGTGAAAATTGCACTGAAGCTTCAGTTAGCTGATCTTAGGTGGTGCCACCAACAACTCTCTTTGGGGTGGCTTCGGCACTCCAAAGCCAGATATTTTCCTCCGGCTTTTGCACACGGAGCATCTTCTGCAAAAATTCCGTAAGCTGTCTCAAAGCAACGTGTGGGCCAAGGAATCCCTAATCTGCAGGATTAAAATTCGACCGCAGTGCTTATTTGGAGTGTCGTTCATAACCTTAGTTGTTTCCGAACGTAAGTACCCCCGATTTCCTTGTGTAAGCAGCTGGTCGGGGAAAGGTGCGCACAAAGAGCAACCAATATGCGCGGCAATGAATGCTGTATTAGCGGTTTCTCCATTATCATTTATTAAATAATGTAGCCAGCTGCATTTACAAGTGGCTAACATCTTCACTCATGGAATAAAGGTGTGAGAAACTGGAAATGTAGAAAGCCTGATTAGGCCATAACCAGTCGTGACTTAATCAGCCTTATTTTCGAAGGACCGCGGTTTAGTCTGACTGCGAGCTCCTCGACCTTGAACTGTCTTGGGTGCTGTACCAGTGTCTTTGTGTCCAGTGTTTTTTTTTCCATCTCTTGGTATATCCCACAGAAAAAGAAAAAAAACTATCGGGGAAGCCTTGGTGCCTGTATATTTTGTTTCATGCCAGCATGGCATATAGATGGTGTTCGATCGGATTGTTGCTAGCTTATGGATGTAGGAAGGACATTTAAACTGACTGCCTCAATGCTTTTTGCTGGGCTGTTCACCCATTTCAACGCTCATCTTGTGAGTCATGATAAATAATGAGTAGCACTGTGGGTACGACAGACTGAAGGAAGAAGCCTTCGTGACATAAAATTAATCTGCTACATTTTTAGTGAAATAAGTCGCACATGTCGCTGTTTTTCTAAATGAATCCGCAAAATCTTTATTCGAAACTGCGGAATTCAATCTCCATCCGTGAATTGAAGACTGAAATTTTTGAACTTTTCCCTTTCAGACTTAATTTTCGTATGAATTCCAAAAATTTGAATTTTTCTAACTTGATTTTTAAAGAAATTCTAAATCTTGAATTTTTCAAGATAGACTTGTAAAGAAATTCGAAATCCTTGAACCCAAATTTTAAGAAACCTTGACATCTTCTAAACTTACGAACACAAACCTCATTGAGGTTGGAAATTCTCAGCAAGTTTGCGACATCCCTAGTTGCAACGGTCTTGCCTATCTCCTTTGTTTTTCTGACTGCACGCTTGGTGCTGCATTACATCGGACCCGCTGTGTGAATTGGTGGCTAGTATCCTTCAAGAAAATGTTGAGCTTGTGCTTCTCAGGTGTGACCAGTGACTGTGATCATTATCTTTTGTTTTCTGCTTTTTTAGAACATAATTTATCCTGTGCCAGTCTTTTTTTTTTTTACTTTTAATAAATTTTCCTGAACTTGCTGGCAAAATGCAGTTTTCCCCGACCCTTTAGCAGTGGCAATCATCGACAGATAGTTTCATCAGCACGCAATGTTTCATCGACAGCTCAAATTAGCTTTTTGCTGTAATAAGCTGCATGAGACTGTCGCCGCAAAGCGGCGTGTACGGGTTGGTCAGGAGGGTTAACATTTTTTAATGAGCATCCGCAGACTGTTGCAGCGAAGCGGCGTGAACGCAGGTAGGGGGGTGGTTTAACGCACACCCCAGTGATACATGCTTGACGAAATGTCCATACAGTGTGCAATTCGCGTACCGAGTGTCGACGAAATGTGTATCTGTGAAACGTACATGTGTCCATGAAAAGTTGTACACGAAACGTAATTGCACGAAACGAGTTTTGAAGAAGTGGTAGGGACTCAAACTTTAGGCTCATGTTCGTGGAAGCAGTAAATACTGAGTAGACACAAGATGCCGCATAGAATGGTATCTTGACAAAGTTGAGTTTCTGCTTTAAGTTGGAAACAGGCTTGTAGCCAGGGGGGGGGGGGCCCATGGGGCCCGGGCCCCCACTGAAATCTTTCAGTTTGCTGGGACCTCCTCTCCCCCTTCCCCCTCATACAGCATTTTGTCATGGGCTGCCCCCCCCCCCTTCCCCCCCGAAACAAAATCCTGGCTACGTGCCTCGTTGCAAACCTGGGGATATAGTAACCTATGGGGAGATGGAAGAGGACCAGACCAAGTAAAAAGGTAAGCACTTCATTAGATGCCCAAATATAAAACAAACATATGGATGGTCATTTATTTGCTATGATTTTATGTGACGTCTAACTTTCCCATCAAAATATCAACCAAAGTGAAAAAAACTGGATTTAGCGAACTGCTGTATGGGCCACATAAAAGGGGTGGATATTGTTTGTCAAAGCAAACCCTGGGTTCTATGATGACAGCTGAAGACTCTCGGAAACCGTTTCCTTCTGTATGAATATAATTGCGACGACTTTTTCACACTGTCCTCGTTTATCTGCTTTCATGCTTCTCTCAATTTTGCATTTAAATTAGTTCGATAGTGATGGGTACAAAAGGCAAAGATGCTTAATGTCTGAATCAATGGAGCATGTGAATTGCAGACATGGTCGTACCAACCGGGGAGGCAAAGGAGGTGCTTGCCCCCCCAGTTCTCGGAGTGGGGGGGCAAGGCATGTGTTTTGCCCTCCCTGAAACAGCTGCCACTGGGCAGGGCAATCACTGGCTGGCGGCGCCCAAGGGATACCAAGGGCACCGTCCCCCAGCCCTGGGAGGCGGTGTCTGGTTTGACCCTGCAGTCAAAAACAAATTGGTACGCCACTGATTGCAGATGATGACGGCGTCATCAGAGGAACAAGCTTTCGCTCCAATGAGGAACGAAAGCTCATTCCTCATTCCTTCTCAATCCTGGAATGAGTTCCCTTTGCAAGTTCCAGTGGTTCGAAAGGAATGTGTTCCCGTTACGTTTCAAAACTTGTTTGCGTAATTTACTGAAATATTGTGGTGGATAATCCGTAGAACAAGGGGGCGGGGGGGGGGGCGTCGTTTGGATGTCTTGACCCCCCTTTTTAGGGCGTGGAAACGGGGGTTTAAGCATATAATACGCTGACCAACGCCCCCCCCCCCCCCCCCCTCAAAATACCTGCGTCCGCCCTTCGCCGTAGGTAGAAAGCAAGTGAAAATATCCACATTGAGCTAAATGTTGAGTCTTGCAAAATTTTATTGTGGCGATCATATGTTTGTTTCAGTTTTTCTGGTTTCGATGGTCTCTCCGACACTTCCCCATCCTTTTAGTAGACTGTACGGTAGAGAGAGCTTCGCTTTGCTAGAGGGAGCTCGTGCCATCACTTCGACGCATGGGTTGAGCACGCGGCCACTGCGTTGGGCCCTCTGTCCTTATTGTACGATATAGGAAAGCCTAAATGCCTAAAATTGCATATAACGTTTTTTTTTTTTTCTTCTTTCATTTTCTAACGACATCCCAGTCCAGTAAAGGAACATTGTTTCGTGCAACAATAGGATGCGGTTCATGCCTTCGATGTTTTAATTGTAAAATAAAAAAAATAAAAAAAAAGGAAGAAAAAACAAAAACAGCCGGGCTCGTCCGGGATTTGAACCCGGGACCTCTCGCACCCTAAGCGAGAATCATACCCCTAGACCAACGAGCCCGCCCTTTCCGCACGGCGCGAGACCGGCGAAACTTGCTTTTGACGAGTTATGCCTTTTTTCTGTGACATTGCACTTTCGTAAAAATTTCCACGTGTTCTCAACGGCAAGTATCGTGGCTCACACAGGATCTTTAAGAATGTCTTCGGCGAATGACGACGAACCAGTAGAATACGCGTCTTCAGCACGCTGCCATCGGCATCTGTAAGACTAGCAAAACGAAAAAAAAAAAAAAAAAACAGTGTGCACGATGACGTCCGGTGGCCGCACTCGCGCTGCAGCGCAGCGAACTAGAGCACTATATACACTAGCGCAATCCTTTGATCGTGGCCTGATCGTGGCCTCCGCGATCTGCTGCCG